AGTGGGTACCTTTTCGGGCTTGGCGGCCACCGACGTTTGGGCGAAACAGGCTTTGGTGCAAACGTGTCAAACTAAGCGAATCAGATATTTAATTTCCGATTACTATTTGATAATTACATCCTACATATTTTATTTTGTGAGGTTTTATTAGGACCGAAGGGATAGGTAAAATCTCATTGCTCCCCTGTCTCTTTATCTCTCTCAAACTCCTTGCTCTTTCATTTTTCCTCTCTGTAGACTGTGGGTATCACTTCCTTCCGTCCGTCTCTCCGTCTGTCCGTCTGTCCGTCCGTCCGTCCGTCCGTCTCTCCGGCCGTCCGTCCGTCCGTATCTACGTCCTCATTTCCGTCCGCCCGTCCGAGTCTCTCCGTCTGTCTGTCCGTCTGCCCGTCCTTCCTTCTCTCTGTCCGTCTCTCCGTCCGTCTGTCCGTCTGTCCGCCCTTCCTTCTCTCTTTCCGTCTCTCCGTCCGTCTGTCCGTCTGTCCGTCCGTCTCTCTGTCCGTCTCTCCGTCCGCCCGTCCGCCCGCTCGCCCAAGACCCTAACACAGGGCCTCGACCTATGCACCGGCCAGCGTCTACCAGGTCAATGTAATCTAGGAAATATAAAGTCGAAAGTTAAACAATTCCAGAAAGATATGCTCCTATTTGCAAAGAGATGACTAACAGATTTCCAGCTTAATCCGCCACCTTTTCACACAATTGCCACCTTCTCCCATCCCCAACATCCTTTTCAGGCTTCAAGATCTCAGGGCCTCACTCTCAAACACTTCCCCATTGGTGACTTGTGGATAGCTCAGATCAGTAGGGGAAGGTGGGGTAAGACGGACCAGGTAAGGTTTGAGGCCGCATATCTTGCTACACTGCTCTCGTAATTCATATTATTTATAGTCTTCGGAATGCTCAATCCTTCCTCTGTTGATATGTGTAAAGACTAAATTTCAAATTAAAGACATTAGGTGGTGGATGCTCTTAAAGAGGGACATGTCAAAAACTCAGACAAGAAAAAACGTGGGGTAAGACGGACCACCCACCAGTGCCTGCTATCCAGTCATGTGTGTTACACTTCTGCTCTGTACTCTTGTAAGAAAAAGTAACCAGAATGGTAAAATAACAAAATGAGCCTTTATTCTTTACTCATGTGTGAGAAGTGCAGCTAAAAGCTGGGAACATGTGTGTTGATTGTCGTTTGGCATGAATGCATGCTAACTGAGCACTTGCATGCATGGCTCACATGCAACAAAGACTCCTTCCTGAAAAATTAGCTTACTTAAACTTGTGTCAATGTTTTGGAAAAGAACTTTCCATATGCAGGGTACAATGGACCACCACAGGGTAAGATGGACGATGGACCACAGTGGTCCGTCTTGCCCCATATCTAAATTCTGTCATTATCATGACGTATATGTCAAATAGCCCAACATTGCAAAACCTTGCCTTTCCTAAAGTGTGACTATAACTAAGTTTATAACTTTGTTCTTCACAGTAAAGTGCAAAATAGAAACTAATCATGCAAGAAAGGCGCCGTAATTGAATCACCCGTAGACCTCTTATATTAGATCGGTTTGACGAAAAACAACATTTTTCTCAATAACTCAAAAGCTATGCATCCTAGCAGCATGAGCTCAAGGTGGCCATTGTTACGAAGGAAAACAAACATAGTGAGTGCATAAAGCAGTAGATACCAGCAGCGGTTCAGCCGGGAGGGCTGGTGGTCCGTCTTGCCCCGCTGGGCCGTCTTACCCCACCTTCCCCTATATCTGGGTGGTTGGCGTATCATCGGCCGAAGCAGCCCAACTTTTGGCGGAACCAACAAATGCCCGGCTGGGAAATAGCGGCAGCCCGGGCGGCTGGTGCCGCATGCTGCCAACTTTTGAAAAGTAGAGAAAGGCGTCTCCAGATTTTTTTATCTTTCGCTTCCTTACATTGAACGGCCATTGCGGCCCTTTCTGGTGTGCGACGGCCGTATTTGGCACCAAAATAAAAATCTCTGGAATTTTCTAGCTTGTGTTAAGCCTATGGACTCATAGGGAGATCATTTGTGTAGACCGTCAAAAGTAACGGCTGGCAAGCGGATCGAATTTTGGAGGGCCGTCATGTGCAAAATAGGCAATTTTATGACGAATGACTTCGGATTGGGGCCTCAGCCACCTTCTACACGTTTCACTGGATAACTCCGAAATTTAGGGAAAAAATAATCCTTTTTTCTCCATTTTATGGCAAACGCGACGCATAGCGAGCCAAGATTTCTGGTAAATTACCCTATTTGACCCCCGTGGGCCGCACCAGCTGGCAGTCGCTAGGCCGCTGTTTTGCCCACCGACGGAGGGGCCGGTGAGCTGCCGTGCTGGTCGGGCGGCCAGTCGCGGCGATGGTCCCTCCCGCGGCTGTGGTGGGTCTGGCGGCGCTGCTAGCGGCCGCGCCGGCTCTGTCCGCCGAGCCGGGCACGGTGGAGTTCCTTGCCGAGCGGCTGGCGACGGTGCGCCTGCCGCCAGATGCGTACCGTATGGAGGAGCTCGGAGAGTCCAACGAGACGCTGCCGGCCGACCTGGTGCTGGCCACGAAGGGCGGTGTGCTCGAGCCCTCGTGTCGGCACCTGTGTCTGAGCCGTTCCGACTGTCTGGGTACCGCGTACCGTCCCAGCGACCAGCAGTGTCTGCTGTCTGTCCGCCGGCCGGCGCCGGGCCGTCTGGAGCCCGCTGCTGAGCCGTGGGTGCTGGCGGCGCGCCGCGGCCTGGCCTTCCTGGATGAGCCGTGCCAGCGGACCACCGACTGCAGTCTGGTCGTGCCTGGCTCCTTTTGCAGCGCCGGCCTGTGCGCCTGTCTGGAGGCGTTCAACCGGACGGAGGCGGGCGGCTGCCGGCCCCTCGGGGAACTGGTACCCGCAGACGAAGTCCGGCCGGCCGACGACGCGCTGCTCCGAGAGGAGGCGGCCGCCGAGCTGGCCGACTGTTCCGCCGCCTGTCAGGGGGATGCGCTGTGTCTGGCCGTGGAGTTCTCTGCCGTCAGCTCGACCTGTCGCCTGTACTCGGCCGGCATCACCGACGACCTCGGCGCCGACCCGTCGGACGAGTGGCGGACGCTGGTGCGCCGGCTGCCGACGGCCACCGGCCCGCCGCCGGCCGACTTTGTACAGCTCGGAGGTCAGTGGTGGTTCAGCAAACACGCGGCAGCTAAGTACGGCCAGGCGACACGCGACTGCGCCAGCCTCGGCGGCATCCTCTACCACGGACGCGAGGACGGCACGCGTGCGGCGCTCGCCGCCGCTCAGATGCTCGACGAGAGTATCTACCTTGGCCTGGACGACACTGGCATCGAAGGAGAATTCGTGTACTCAGACGGCGAGCCTTTGGATAACCTGACCACCTGGCACTCCGGCGAGCCCAACAACTTTCGAGGAAACGAGGATTGCAGTGAGCTGCGCACTTCCGGCCTATTAAACGACATTGGTTGTGGCAGCAACAGACCGTACGTGTGTATGTGGCAGCCGGGGGTCCTGCGGAGCGCCGTCCGCGGCCGGTCCGTGTGGACCTCCTGGGGCACGGCCACCGCCGCGCAGGCCGTCGATGGCGACATGGACACCTGGTCGGGGCCGACGCTGCCGGACGAGGTGGACTCGTTGGAGGAGCAGCGGCAGCATCTGACGGTGGACCTGGGCGCCACGCACCAGGTGACGGCCGTGCTGCTGGTGACGGGCGCGGGACGCTCGGCCGCCGACACCACGATCTACCTGAGCAGCAGCTGGGAGCGGCACGACGAGGCCGCGGCCGCCGTCTGTCGCCGGCTGCCCGGCCAGTACATGCGCCACCGGATGGCGCGTCTGTACCGCTGCCGGCGCCCCGTGCAGGGCCGCTACCTGCACCTGGTCACCGACCGACTGCGGGTCTCCTGGACGGAGGTGGCCGTCATCGGCGCGCAGCTCGACGGGGACCAGCCACTACAGCCGGAGCAGATGTAGCTCAGGCTGCCAGCAGTGGAGGAGTGCCGACGAGCTGACCGGCCGGCGGTTGGCTGCATGTCAGAAAAGTAGATGAAATCACATGGATCCACAAAATTTACCATTATCCGTTACTTTACTCCATGAGTATTGTGAGATACACTACTCGTAAGATTGACCGCCTCGGCTGGTGGATGATAAAGTTATCGCTAATGTTGTATTTATGCTGTTATTACCCACATTTTGTTTCGTCTGACAACCATGGGTATTGTTGCATTTTATAATTCTACATGGGTGGATATTTCCATTTCACGTCTAGCTAGACGCGTCTAGCTGGACGGCAGCTGCGTCTATCTGGCGACAGCGACGCGTCTTGCTTGGAAGTTTCTGTCCAACAGTTAGACGGCAAGTTAGACGCCAACTTTGACGTCTGCTCAGTTAGACGCCAGTTGGACGCCAGTGGAAGTCTCTACCCATGTTTTTTGTCATGCGTTCTTATCGTTTGTTTTGAGTATTTGTGAAACCTTACATTGGCCAGGTATGAATAAATATTTCCGTTGCATTTTGACGGGTTTTATTCTCTCACCCGGCCACATCTGATGTGAGCCGCTGGGAATTGCCTTCCTCACCAGGACCGTCGCAGGACTCCAGTGCCTCACAATGTCGGAATAATAAAACTGTATTTTGTGAAATCATCCCGACCTAAGCCCGCCGCAACCACAAGCATAGACTCATTTGGAATAGATTATGTTTATATTTCTGTGCAGATGTCAAGCTTCACTAGAACTGAACACTTAACAGTGTACTATCCCATGGGATTAGTGATCATTCACGTTTCTTTTCAGCCCGTCGGTGAATCCATAAAGGTGGTATTGGACGCCGTGGGATATAGTCCAAAAACAAATATATTCTTCAAATAAAAGCTTGGCTTTTTATTTTTTGTCCTATATTCTAAATGAATGGACATCTTTATTAGTTGGTAGACAGCTACCCGGTCTGGCAGTGAAGTGACCCGGTCACTTCCGGCAGCCACCGAACACTGACTACATCCCCATCCCTCCGACAGTGTTCGTTCTTCTTTTCGTGCGTATGGTCGTTCGGCGGCTCGTGCGATGACGTCGGCCGTGAGAAGTTTGACGTCATCATGCGTCAGCTGATTGCCGGCACCGTTACCGATCAGCTCAGGGTGAGTGTCTTGTGTCCGGCCTAAAGTATGGTGATCATCATGGGACGTGGGCGTAGGTCAGTCAGTCGTTTCAATGCATTGGCCCGATCTTTAGTCTCGTGCCCAGCACTGGCGGATCCAGCTCAGAGTTTTGGGAGGGGCAAACCATAACAACATAGTGGTTCTTTCCATGCACTGTCTATAGGCGTAGTGTTAAAATTTTGCCGTTTGGGAGGGGCAATTGCCCTACTTGCCCTCCCCTGGATCCGCCACTGGTGCCCAGCTCACTTCTGTAACTGACATCTCTTTTGTCTATAATAACAGCCGAAAAACTGAAATGGGAGAATTTTGATATCATTTTTAGGGTGAATGGGAATAGGAAACGGCTATACAAACGCCTTGTATTCTATGGTCAAAACGCTGCGTGTCTTCTCTTCTATGCCTGTATGAATTCGCTCGTGAGTCTTACCTGTTCCACCTCGCTTTAGAGACTACTCATGGTCGGGAGGGGAGCAGACTCTGTCCTCCCCTTAGCGGGGTGCATGTTAACTGGGAGTTATCGTAAAGGGATGATTTAGAGTCCGTCTAGTCCTTTACCCAAATTAATGGCGGCAACATGTTTTACCCAAAGTGCACAGATCAACCTTCATGTTAGTCAATAGCCATTTAGCAAAACTAATTTATTACATCCAAACCTTTTGCAAAAATATAAAAAGTGGTTTAGCTAGTGTCCTTTCGATGGCCAGGAATAGGCAGCTTTATGCTAATCCAGTGGAAGGGCGTTGAAAGTGCATTGCGTGGCACCCAGCTTAGCCGACGCTGCACTGTTTACTGTTTAGGGTGGTTGCTCTGGGATACTTGCCACCGACAAGCTCAGGGCAGTGGTTGGGTGTTGAACGTAGCAGAATCACGCACACGCTCCGCTACTTGTACTTCAATGCGCCGTGGATGGCGTGCTTGTAGAATGTAGACACATTCACAGTGAATTGAGGAAAAAGTTTTGTTTGACGTCTGAGGTATAGCCTCTTTCAGTGCTGGATAGTTTAATGTGTTATGTAAGCACTGCCATTTACATGGCATGGCATACATAGGTATGGGATCGGTATTTGGGACCTGTCAATAATTCATATGTTCCTTGGATTGTGGCCAAAGCACGCCCTAGCCCGAAGGGCAACGAAAATAACAACACCTGCACGAAATACCACGGCATATCGGTGCATTCTGTCGCGTTTCACCAAACGTTACAAGTTAGTAACCAACCGACCACGCCCGTTACCTGTGTAGTGTGTATGTACCCTCATATGCACTGCCAAGTCGTTGGGCAGTGACGGGGGCATGGGAGTTCATAGAGGGGGCGTCGTCTGCTCAGTGCTGACCGTCGGCGGCTCGTTCCAGATGGAGTTCAACATGGACGAGGTAGCGCCGCCGCGCCGCACCTTCCTGCTGCCGTTCCCCAGGGAGGGACGCGTCTACGACTACAAGTTCGTGCCGGATGTGAGTGTGCTGACAGGCAGGGGCGGTGCCGGTGGGCACGCGGGGTATTTGATTCGGGGATCGGTAATATAGCCGGTATGGAATTGGGTTATGGGTTGGCTGTTCCGATGGGATCACACAGTTGATACTATTTGTTTCCGTTAAAGGGACACTCCCACCTTAACATTAGTTTTGAGTTGAGATAGCCAAATTGGTGGCCATGGCCTGCAAATACCGGTTTGGGCACTCACAACATCGACAAATGCTTTAATTCGGAGATATGGAATTTCAAACTTGCAGTTTTCGGATTCTAAGGGGCTAGTGCATTGGTATGCCCCCTTAGAATTTGTGACGTCAGCGGAGATCTAACGATTTTTTAATCTTTTACTAAAACGTTTGGTAGCACGCGGTGGTATATGCTGCTTTGCGCGCAACAAATGCCGCACTTTCAAATAAAGTCGCTAGGAACAGCGGAGATCCCAAAAAGTAAACAAAAGTAAAAGTCTAATATCTTGAAAACCGGTGAATATTTTTCGATGAAATTTGGTAGATATTCGTTTTCGCTCTTTCTGAACCGAGCGACATCACTTTCGTGCCAATTCATTAACTTTTTTGAAGGTGGGAGGGTCCCTTTAAGCATCCGTAGGCTTTTTGTAATTTTGCTTCTCTCTCTCTCTCTCTCTCTCTCTCTCTCTCTCTCTCTCTCTCTCTCTCTCTCTCTCTCTCTCTCTCTCTCTCTCTCTCTCTCTCTCTCTCTCTCTCTCTCTCTCTCTCTCTCTCTCTCTCTCTCTCTCTCTCTCTCTCTCTCTCTCTCTCTCTCTCTCTCTCTCTCTCTCTCTCTCTCTCTCTCTCTCTCTCTCTCTCTCTCTCTCTCTCTCTCTCTCTCTCTCTCTCCTCTCTCTCTCTCTCTCTCTCTCTCTCTCTCTCTCTCTCTCTCTCTCTCTCTCTCTCTCTCTCTCTCTCTCTCTCTCTCTCTCTCTCTCTCTCTCTCTCTCTCTCTCTCTCTCTCTCTCTCTCTCTCTCTCTCTCTCTCTCTCTCTCTCTCTCTCTCTCTCTCTCTCTCTCTCTCTCTCTCTCTCTCTCTCTCTCTCTCTCTCTCTCTCTCTCTCTCTCTCTCTCTCTCTCTCTCTCTCTCTCTCTCTCTCTCTCTCTCTCTCTCTCTCTCTCTCTCTCTCTCTCTCTCTCTCTCTCTCTCTCTCTCTCTCTCTCTCTCTCTCTCTCTCTCTCTCTCTCTCTCTCTCTCTCTCTCTCTCTCTCTCTCTCTCTCTCTCTCTCTCTCTCTCTCTCTCTCTCTCTCTCTCTCTCTCTCTCTCTCTCTCTCTCTCTCCTCCCCATGTCTTTATTTCGCTCTGACTCTACCCCTTTCATTCTCTTCCTTCCCGTCAACATTTCCTTCCCGGCTCCGTACCTCTCTCCCTATGCCCTCTCCCCCTCTGTCTTCCCTCCCTCTGATACCATTTCTATCTTTCTCCTCCATCTCCCTCCCCTCCCTCTCCTCTCCCACTTTCACGCCCCCCCCCCCTCCCCGCGGTCTCCGTCCAGGACCACGGCTACTGGGAGCTGTGGACGGTGGCTCTGAAGACGCTGCCCAGTATCCCGCGCGATATCCAGGTCAACCAGATCATCGTACCCACCGTGGACACCGTGCGCTACACGGAGCTCATGAGTCTGCTGGTCTACCACCGCAAGCCGGTGCTCTTCTGTGGACCCACAGGAACCGGCAAGAGCATCTATACGATCGTAAGTGGGCGCGGGTGGGTATGCATGTAGTAAACAGCAGAGTCGGACACACGGGCTGTTGGACAGACAGACAGACAGACGGACAGACGGACGGACGGACGGACAGACAGACAGACAGACAGACAGACAGACAGACAGACAGACAGACAGACAGACAGACAGACGGACTGACGGACTGACGGACTGACGGACAGACGGACAGACGGACAGACGGACTGACGGACTGACGGACTGACGGACGGACAGACCACCCGATGGACAGAAGGACCGATGGACCGTTGATTGCGACGGGATGTCGATAGGTTTAGTACAATACGAGTCCTCGTATGTCCTTAGTTTAGGTGGCGATAGCTTTAGTTTTGACTTTGAAGGATTTCAGGAAGTGAGGCTTCTTCGTGATGCCTGTAGCTCCCATACGTAGTTCTGTCTTGAATAGGACATATGTTTGACTCATTCCGCAATTGCGTCTATGCTGAATATCCAGTGGACTTGGAATACGACATCTTCTGTTAACAGCGTCGCCATTCGAGCTCATACCACTTCTCGCACCAAAACTTATCCAGACTTGACTTAAATGCATTTAAGGACGGCGTTTTGTACATGTCCCTGGTAGTAACTGCAAGGACCTACTCACGAGGCGTTGTGCAGTGGAGGTGGCCGGAGCTATAGTGAGGCGATGGTTTCTTAAGAACCACTAGCTTTGGCATGGCTGTGAGCAATTAGGCGCAGTGGTCTAGCAATTGTAGTGGTCCGGTCAGCTTTTGTACACGGCCCTGGGCCTCGTAACAACTGTGGCAAGGCGCAGCACCTAATGTCAGCTCGGTTTTATATAATCTAGCTTGACGTGCGTTGTTCTTGCCCGCGGCTCTGTTTCCTAGACTTGGTGTAAGCTTGGTAAAGTGCCTGTTTGTTGGATAGTTGGATAGCAAATAGCCTGGCGGTATCCAGCTGGTCACGTTTACAGTCAGGTAAACGAAGCAGTGTTCCGTTGTCTTGAGACTTAGCACTGCATGCCGGCAAGCGCCATGCTCGATGGAATTTAATCACGTCCAATCTTAAAAGCGCCATAGTTACTTTTCTACCAATTATGGTACGCAGTGGCGTCATGTATATGGGTAGTCACAAAGGTATACGAGTGAACGGCAAACGTTAAGATACGATGGCTTTCACTGCGCACATAAACGTCTCGTCGTTCTGCAGCTGAACTTAAACCGGTAGTGTCGAATCCTAGTAACGGCTCATTGCAAAATTGGGACATGTGGCAAACTGTGTCACTGGCAATCAATCAACCGACCGAAATGCGTTCTATTAGCATTCGGGTGTTTACCAACGACTCGTCTAACTCTTTGATGGGCTTCCTTCGGTGCCTATCACAGAACTTCATGCTGAATAAGATGAAGAAAGACAAGTACCTGCCTCTGATTGTCAACTTTTCGGCTCAAACGTCGGCCAACCAGACGCAGGACATTATCGTCAGCAAGCTGGACAAACGGCGCAAAGGTGGGGAGCTGGGACGGCGCTGTCGGGAAGGTGTCGAAACGCACTAGAGAATAAAGGTCGTTTTACCAAGCGCTGTCTCGGGAATCCTGGGTCCAACAGGGTGGTAGGGGACACTGTTTTATGAAAGCATCATGATGCATAGCCATATTGCGCGCAAAATGGGTGGGCACTGAGCATGTGAAAGTATCATATTCTTTTTCAGAAGTAAGGCGCGCAATAATATTTTACTTTTAATCGCACGATAATGCAAGTTTTACATTATCATAAATCATGCACGAGCATGGTGAATTTTATGCAAGAATACCTGAACCACTCAGCATATTAAATCCAAATCGCTCCCCTGGTCATATTTTAGACAGTTACGTAGCTTTCACCATCAAAAAGCACTCGATCGGTTCATCATACGCCAGTCTCCCTGTCTGTCCTCAATCAGGTGTTCTGGGTCCGCCACTGGGCAAGAACCTGGTGGTATTCGTGGACGACCTGAACATGCCGCTGAAGGAGACCTACGGCGCCCAGCCGCCGATCGAGCTGCTCAGACAGTGGCTCGATCACTGGATGTGGTACGACCGCAAGGACGTGGCGCCCTTCAAGCTGGTCGACATGCAGGTAGGGTGGAAGGGACGCTCAGTGAGGAAGGTCTAGGGTGACTGGGTGATTGGGTAGGAGGATATTGTGAAGATTTTTTTTTTTTTGTTAAGCCCTTTCGGTCCAATGGGACCATTTCAGAGCCGGGAGGATGATAGGATATAGGGGGAGACATTGGTCTGGGCAGGCACCCTAGTGAGTCGCCGGGGCTGAGCCCGTCCAGAGGACAGGCCACCCAGCCCCAAGGTACTCACTGCACCCGGCTACGGGGTGCGCTCCCTCGGGAGCAGCGGTGCCGCTCCAAGGGAGCAGCCCGCATGAGATAAAGTTGCCTGTCCAGCCCGGAGGTGGTTGCGGCGTGGATGAGAAGGATTTCAGTATCCTGAGGATAGAAGCACGGAACGGTGTACTGTGATTTGTGAAGACTGGGTGGGGACGTGTCAGGGATTGTGGAGCGTCAGGGATGCCGAGGATTGCGTTGTCTACTAGGTGTCACGGTGCTTATGTGTTTGGACGGTGCCGCTGTTATGCAGTGAGGAAGCCTCTGTCGGTTACTCAATGGCAGTAATTAGCCGGCCCGGCCTGCGCCGCCGCTCCGCCCCTAGAGTCGGTGGCGACAGCTAGCGCGGCTCGATGCTAGGACCTGTAACTGCTGCCCTCTGCATTGGTACGGCTGGGCTGACGCCGCTGCCCTCTGCAGTCTAATATGACCGTCAGGCGTCACTTTCCTTGTATTCGCCCAGATCATGTCAGCCATGAGTCCGCCGGGCGGCGGCCGCAACTTCGTGACTCCACGCTTCACCCGACACTTCAACCTGATCAGCATCAACGAGTTCGACGACGAGACGATGAAGGTCATCTTCTCGCGTATCATGCTCTGGCACCTGGACACTCGGTGGGTGGCTCGGGGAGGCCGGTAGGGTCTGGATACTCGACAATGAGCAGTGGGCATTGGGCAGTCCTTGGTGAATGTAGGGTGGGTATTATTGGAGAGTGGGCTATCGAAGCCACACTTTCTCAGTTACAGTGCTAGTTTTGAAGGTTTCGACCGTTCAAACGTTATCTTCGTTCTTCCATCGACTTAATTGGCGTTCTGAAGGCTTTAGATTGTTCCATCCTAAGATATCAATGCATTTGACATAAATATCCACATTTCTTCCTGACCCCGTGTGCCATACCGTTTCCGCAGGGGTTTCGGTAAGGAATTCGACCCGAGCATCGAGCAGGTGGTGGGAGCGACTCTGAACGTCTACAAAACGGCTATGGAGCACCTGCTGCCCACGCCCAACAAGTCTCATTACCTGTTCAACCTGCGGGACTTCTCTCGTGTGATGCAGGTGCGCCTCAGGGCGGGATGCCCTAGCGACAAACGGTACTGCGATGAGTATTGTTGACTGTGGGGCTGAATGGTTTTACCGTTGGTGCGGTGTTTGGAGGGTGAGAATCGGATGATCCGACTGACGGCTCCGTGGCGCCTTTGTGATGCGTATAAAGTTTAAGATACACTGGCCCGTGATTTTACCGATCCCTCGGCCCGGTTCAACCAAGGATAGTCTTGGTTCCTGTGTGGTCTCTAGTCGGTAGTCCCCTTGTCGGCGTTTTCTGTATAGCTGAGCTCAGCTCTCGGTGTCGTTTTCAGGGCGTGCTGCTGTCGGTGCCGGAGGCGGTGGAGGACCTGCCCAGTCTGAAGCGGCTCTGGGTCCATGAGGTGCTGCGGGTCTACTACGATCGGTCAGTGACGATGAGAATCCTTCTGCCGCCGGTGGGGTGGAGCACGCGGAGGGGACTCGTGTATTAGCTCGATGATAAGGCCGCATAGGTATGTCATGGATACTTATCCGATTATACCATTGTAAAAGTTGTTATCATCGGATTCGGCGTAAAGCGTTTTAAGTTCGTGAATTTGTCAAGCACAGCCTTTACCGTCCCACGGTCTTACGTATCCCGACCCTCCATCTGCTGATCTTCGTCCTACCCCGTGATTACGATACCCGTTAACTACTCTGCGCTGTTAATGAATATCACTGCCGTCTATTACATCCCTGGCGTTCTCCGTGCCTCCACAGTCTGGTGGACGACACGGACCGCGCCTGGCTGATCGAGCACCTGAGACAGGTGGCCAAGGAGAACCTGGAGGATGACCTCGATCAACTGTTCAGCCGGCTGGACTCGGACGCAGACGGAAAGGTGATGACGTAACATCACCTGAAATCACCAGGACTGACAGTGCGAAAGGACGTCGTATCGTAGTCAATCATGTCTCTTATTGACATCCACAGTTATTTATGGTTTGCTGGTATGTACTAGGATTTTTTTTTTGTGCAGCCTGCTCTTTGTATAATTGACGCAGCTATATTACTCACATGCATATAACCGATCTTCTGACTGTTGTAGTTCTCTCCCTTTTCCGGCAGGTGACGGAGAACGACCTGCGCGCGCTCATGTACTGCGACTTCTCGGACCCGAAGGCGGACCCGCGCAACTACACCGAGGTCGAGGACCTGGACTACCTGCGCAGCGTCGTCGACGGCTACCTCATCGAGTACAACAACATGAGCAAGAAGCCCATGAACCTGGTGCTGTTCCAGTTTGCCATCGAGCACCTGTCGCGGGTGGCGCGTGTGCTCAAACAGCCGCGCGGCCACGTGCTACTGGTGGGAGTCGGTGGATCGGGCAGGCAGTCGCTGACGCGGCTGGCGGCGCATATCTGCGACTGCGACATATTCCAGGTGAGGTGGACTGAGGGTTGAGGAACCGGCCCGACACAGGATAGACGTCGTATGCCAGCAATTTATTTCGAGTTTTTTTTTTGTCAAGCGGATAAACCGTGCTTGACAGCGCTGTATTTTCACTTTTTTAGGATTGGTGACTGGTTTTGCAATGAATGAATAAACAGTATGGAATGTTTGGCATATTATCGTCTAAATATTGCTGTCACTTATCAATAATCCGTGTTTCCCAGGTGGAGATATCCAAGACCTACGGCAAGAACGAGTGGCTGGATGACCTGCGCAGTGTGCTGAGCAAGGCCGGCTTCGGCGAGCGGCACTCCGTGTTCCTCTTTACCGACACGCAGGTCAAGACCGGGTACCTGCCGGGTTTGTTGGGTACCGATCGAGAGGGATTAGCGGTCGTGGATGTCCCTCGTAATGAATGCATAGGCGAAGGCTGGGCCACTGAGTGGAGGGTTCTGGCCGTTGGGAGATTGCGTCATCATCGGTCAGCTGTAATTCGTGGTGCTATCACTTCTACTTGCACTCCCGGCTGTTTGACGCTGATCTGTTCACTCACTAGTCAATTTTACCTCACGACAGATCAAGGAGGAGTCGATGGTGGAGGACCTGAACAACATCCTGAACGCCGGCGAGGTGCCCAACCTGTTCGCACTCGAGGACAAGATCGAAATCTGCGAGAAGATGAGAGTCATCGACAGACAGCGAGATAAGTCGATGCAGGTCAGATGAACAGAGGAACAGGACCAGCTGGTGTGCAGGTGGTTTTTGGTCACAAATGCGCACGTAAAATGCAGACTTTGAAGTGTGTTCCAGTCACACGTTTCAAGCACCACGAAAATATACTCTAGTAAGCCACCGTGTGGAGATTTTCGCAAATACACTATTACGATTGCGATTACGAAAGCGTACTATACTAAACTTAAAGGAAAACGAACAATTAATAGTAACAAAAGTCAAATTTTCAAACAACCGGGGTTATAATGTTGATTGTTGAGAAATCATAGCAGGCTACCTACGTGCTTTTATTTTTCATATAACGTTGCTTACGCCGAAAGCAAGATCTGTGACCCTGCCAATCGGCTCTCCCCTCTCCCGTACTGTCTGCCCGTGCCAGGTCGAGTGTCTGACTCGGTATCCCCCTCCCCTCCGCGGCGCCCCTCCCTCGCTCTAACAGACGGACGGCAGCTACGTGGCCTTATTCAACATGTTCGTGGAGCGCGTCCGCGACCAGCTGCACGTGGTGATGGCCTTCTCCCCGATCGGAGACGCCTTCAGGGACCGACTGCGCCGCTTCCCGGCCATCGTCAACTGCTGCACCATCGACTGGTTCCAGGTGATGGGCGATGGCGGAGGGCGGGCTAAACGGTTAGTGGGGAGGGAGGGGCTAGACAGATCTGACGGTGTTCCTAGAGAGGATGGCACAGCTCTGGATGGATTAGTTAAATTGCTGACCGAAACACGCGCCCTGAAGTGGGTTTCATTTAAAGGAAAATTTATTCACCAGGTGTTACTTGGAGTGAACGGTGAACATCGTTATTAATTAACAGCCGTAGAATCCATGTTGTTTTCTCGGTGACCTGTAGCATTTTACTAGCCGTGTCCATGAGGCCTTGTAGTATTCATCCAATACCAGCTTACAATAACGGCCCACCAGGCCATTCCAATAGTCTCCCACCCACCCTCTGACAACCCTCTCCCCGACCCTCCCTTCCCCTCTCCTCCGTCAGCCGTGGCCGGCCGACGCGCTGCAGGCGGTGGCCACTCAATTCCTGGCTGAGGTGGACATGTCTGAGGACGAGCGGTCCGGCTGCATCCACCTCTGTCAGTACTTCCACACTTCCACCGAGAAACTGTCACGGCGCTTCCTGGAGCTGACACGGAGGCATAACTATGTGACGCCCACGTCATACCTGGAGCTGATCGCTACGTATAAGTCGCTGCTGGATAGACGGAGGAAGTGAGTGGAAATGGTGGCCTGTGAGTCTATTTTATCGCTTGGCCTTAGATTTGTACGACTATTTTCTGTCGCGTCTGATTCTTGATACTGAAGTTGTGTGTAGTAAGGTACTGAATGAGCTTCGTGCTCATGACTTCTCGCATATTTTCTTCCCTGTCGCTAGTCGCTTTGTTCCCACGTCCGCCTGTCTTTCCTACTGTCCTTCCGTCCATCCTTTCGATCCGCGTTACCTCGCTCGTTCGCTCGTTTGCTCGTCTATCTGTCAATCTTGCATCTGTCTACCTGCCCATTTGCCGTGCCTTCGTCCGCAGGGAGGTTCTCAACCAGAAGTCTCGCTACGAGGTGGGTCTGGAGAAGCTGGCCAACGCTGCCTCGGAGATCAGCGTCATGTCCAAGGACCTGACGGACCTGCAGCCACAGCTGGTTGAGGCCTCCAAACAGGTGGGGTACTGCGCTTCAGACTTCAGGGCTAGTTACCAGATAGTTGTGATGGAAATAGTCGACTTAGAACGAATATGCATCATGGTACCTAACCTTTTTCGCCATCATCTTTATTTGAGATCTTTTTTTTTTACGAATTTCGGGAATTTGACCCTGGTCATTATACATGCTGTTGTTAAATACGTATCTGTAATGTTTGCAACATCACGTCATCACTTCATCGCTCACCTCACCCGTGTTCCACTAACTGGTGTCTGTCTCAACACGTGTGTTCCCGCTGTCCACAGGTGGACGAGATCATGCTGCAGGTGGAAAAGGACTCTGTGGAGGTAGCCGAGGTGGAACGGATCGTCAAAGGAGACGAGGCTATTGCCAACGAACAGGCCCGAGTTGCCCAGGGCATCAAGGGTGAGATCGGCTTATCGGGCGTGGTTATCATTACGACATACCTAGTGTGTGTTTACATGAAGGTGCTGATGACTGACGAGTTTGCAGTAAAGTGGTGGAAGGCAAAATCAATAAAGTAAATAAAAAAGTCGAGCAGGATGGGCATCTAAACGAGTCGACTGACCACCACGCAACCACGCCCTCACAGTGCATTCACAGTGCTTCCATTATTAGGACAGACGTGCCTTCAATTTTCATTATTGGTTTATTGCCGTCGCTCTGACCCAGCCCGTCCCCGCCGCCGTCACAGACGAGTGTGACGCCGACCTGGCCGAGGCGATGCCGATCCTGGAGTCGGCTCTTAGCGCGCTCAACACGCTGACGCCCAACGACATAACGCTGGTGAAGTCGATGAAGAACCCGCCGACCGGCGTCAAGCTCGTAATGGAGGCCGTCTGCATCGTCAAGGTCGGTTAGGAGATCGGTGGATATAGTGGAAGTAGGGAGCGTGCTGGAAAGAGGTAGGAAGCAGGCTGGGAGCTCATAGTGATCCACTGCTCTGGTCAGGGTTGATAATAACTTTCGGCTCCTGTTTTTTCTTTGTACATTTAACACATGATATATTTGATTGACTTATTGATATATTGATTTATGTATTGATTATAGTGATATCTCATAATTGATAACCCTGGCACGGCAGCTGTCGCCCCACTGTCCACCTATTGTCTGGTGTAGTTCGCTCCTCTTTGACCGACCGTTCCGTCCGCAGGGTCTGAAGGCCGACCGCATCCCGGACCCGAGCGGCAGCGGGAAGATGGTGGAAGACTACTGGGGACCCTCCAAGAAACTGCTGGCAGACACAAAGTTCCTCGACGGACTCATCAACTTCGATAAGGACAACATCCCTCCTAAGGTGTGGAACAGGCCTTGACTGGTGGATTAATGGAATGACGAAGGTTTCCCGCGCTTTTGTCTGCACGGTTCAATGCATCTGTTCAGATTACATAACTTCTTTTGTAATTGCTAAACTTTACAACATCTGCTTTAATATAACTGTATTGGTTTTGTGCCTGTTTCAGGTGATCAAGGTTCTCCGAGAGCGATTCATCTCGAACCCCGAGTTCGATCCCAACAAGGTCAAGGCCGCTTCAACTGCGGCTGAGGGTAAGTGACTCGGGAGACGAGTCTTTTCCTACATCCACGGTGCAGACTGCCAGCTTAGACAATAGACATCTATCAGTAAGACTTTCAAAGAACCGCTCGCCAACTAACAATTTCACCGCTAACATGTCCGCCGTGACTAAGTCATGGTGTGTTTATCTCGTTCCACCGTTGCGACGTTGATTGTCAACGCAGTCTGCCGCCGCTGCTAACCGTCTAAGCCCTTTCCCCTTCGCTTGATTGTTACTGAGCTTATGAACAACTCTTGGATCCGCGTCCGGCCAGGTCTGTGTCGCTGGGTGATCGCCATGGAGTCGTACGACAAGGTGGCCAAGGTGGTCGGGCCCAAGAAGGAGGCGCTGGGTAAGGCCGAGGGAGAGCTCGCAGAGGCCATGGGCAAGCTGGAAGCCAAGCGAGCGTCACTGCGCACCGTCCAGGAGCGACTGCAGGAGCTACAGAACAAGCTGGAGGCCAACAAACAGCGCAAGGTCGACTTGGAGAACGAGGTAGGCCTGATTGCTGGCGGTGAGGTGGGAGGAAACGATAACCTGGTGAAGGCTAGAATATAGGCAGCAGAATATTACAGTTGCCTGTCTATGATATAGCTTTATTAATGTGCTCAGACGTGTCCTCAACAATCTACAAAGCTTCGTTCAATGCGTACCCATCTTAGTTTGTGATGAACTAAGCGTCAAGTGATATCGAATTTTAAGTCACTTCAGCCGCGGTTAACCTCCGGTCACCCTTCCACATATTAATTTAGCAGCATGATGCATGATGCAATCACCAAGCTGTTCTGTCCAGGTGGAGCTGTGTCAGCTGAAGCTGGAGCGGGCGGAGCAGCTGATCGGTGGTCTGGGTGGAGAGAAGGACCGATGGAGCAACTCGGCCGTCAGTCTCGGAAAGAAATACGAGAACCTCACCGGTATGACTTAGTCAATCATGTCGGCTGGGGTATAAATCGCTGAGCGATTACTAGTTTGTTTGTATTTACGGGCTTTTATATCTCGATGATGGTTGTCAAATTGATGTTTTATTGGGGAGTCCGGATATTTCATTCTTGCCGATGATTTAGAATCGCTTTCACAGGCCAACGCGATGATCGGGCCATACAGGCCATGTGTTTCTTAGTCCGATGAGGATGACTGAAGATACCGCCAGCTGTTGAATCCACCTGACCCACAGTGACACGTGGCTCCACCGGCCTCGTCTCTCTCTGCCGGCAGGTGACATTCTGATCGCGTCGGGCGTGGTGGCCTACCTGGGCGCGTTCACCTCGTCCTACCGCTCCGAACAGGTGGTCGACTGGATGGACCGCTGCGTGGAGAAGGCCATCACCTGCAGCCCAGAGTTCGAGCTGAGTCTGGTGCTCGGTAACCCGGTGGAGATTCGCGCCTGGAACATACACGGCCTGCCCACGGATCTATACTCCGTGGACAACGGTGTTATTATGAAGTGAGATGGCGGCAGGATTGGGGGTGATGGATATGGATGGATGCACCTTTGTTTGTGTCTATGATGGCTATTGTAGCTTGTGACTTCTAGTTGATGATGCGTGGCATTTGTCTGATGGTATTCACTATTCATGCGATGTGATGGGCAATGAAGCTGCAGATGGGTTGCGTTTTTAAAATCGTATGCCAGATTGTAATATGTTAAACCCATCAGCCCATCATATTTGATTTTACCAGTTAATGGAACACCTCCGGGTGAAAGACAAGTCTCTGACCTTTCGACTTGTCCTGCGTCCGTCCCCAGGAACGCTCGTCGCTGGCCTCTGATGATCGACCCCGAGGGTCAGGCCAACAAGTGGATCCGAAACATGGAGAAGGCCAACCAGCTGCACGTGGCCAAGGGCAACGACGCTGACTTTGTCCGCTCGCTAGAGAACGCCATCCAGTTCGGAAACCCGGTGGGTGGAGCGGGATGGGATGAGATGTGGGGGATGAGGCCGAGAGGGGAGCGGGATGAGGGAGGAGGTTTATTTGGTGGATGTAGTATGGGCTTTGCTTGGTATGTGGGTGGACCGGAGCACCGCTATGAGAACAAGAATCTGTGATATGTCAGGCATTGGTGTCAGAACACAGAGATGTGAGCAGTTCTTGAGCACGGTTAGCCAGCTGAGATTTTGGATCAAAGTTTACCTTATGCGACTAGAATCGCCCCCCCCCCCCCCCCCCCCCCCCGTTTTGCATTGGTTTTGTCTTTCCAGCTGCATATGATCAATGCTTGAGTGACAGACTTCGATAGGCAGTCCCGTGGTCGGTCTCCAGCAGCTTTGTTTTCGGTTGAGGACGGTACGTTTCACCACATCCGCCCCCCCTCCCCCCGCGTCTAATCGTACCTACTTGTTACGCCAGGTACTGTTGGAGAACATTGGCGAGGAGCTGGACCCGATGCTGGAGCCGCTGCTGCTCAAGCAGACGTTCAAACAGGCCGGCGCCATCTGCATCAAGCTGGGCGACTCTGTGCTCGAGTACTCGCCGGACTTCAGGTGGGGTCGCCTTCACTCTGTTCCGTTTAGCGGATGTCGATTTATTTGGCAATGACGTCAGCGGTTGTGCTGAATCTTCGTTGATGTTGGGATTATATGTACAGGACTGTCTGCACTGCATTTGAAAACACAGCCATGGAATACATCTGTTTTTTTTTTAAGCTGCGATTTATCCCATAGTCAAGCTTCATATTCGATAAAGCCATGAATTTCCTGTTATTAAAAAGAAGATATTTCTACTTTCGACAGTCACTCTTTTACCCTGGCGTCATTTTAGCCACCACTGTGCCTGGCGCACCGCACTGTCACTCTCGCTCGTGGCTCTAAACTTCCCAGACCCGTAACGTGACTCTCCCCTCCCAGACTGCTATGTGTGGAGACGTTTCATCTTGTCATCATCTGTTCCCTGACCTCTGCCAGGTTCTACATGACTACCAAGCTGCGCAACCCGCACTACCTGCCCGAGATCGCCGTGAAGGTGGCTCTGCTCAACTTCGGTATCACGCTGGCCGGCCTGCAGGATCAGCTGCTCGGTACTGTCGTGTCCCGAGAGAAACCCGACCTGGAGGAGGAGCGCAGTCAGCTGATTGTGCAGTCAGCTGATAACCAGAGGTGCGGCTCGGGAGGAAGCCAGGGGACCACTTGCAGAGTCATAATAATTAGTGCTGAATATGAGCGGTGCATTGGTCAGAACTAAATCCTAGAGAGTATGCCCAATCTCGTGTCTCTAGGATATGATGTTCCTGAGTGAAAACTGATTTTATTGTTTTCGGACAAAATAATGGCTCTAACAACTTTTCATTCTTGAACTTGTATCGATCTGTTTCCAGAAACAAACGCTATGAGTTCTACCGATGTAACTTACACCTGGAATAGATCTTAGCATTCGTCATCCACCTTTATACTGATGTCTTGCCTCCCTCTGCGTCGGCAGACAACTGAAGGAGATCGAGGACAAGATCCTGGAGGTGCTGTCCACCTCCGAGGGTAACATCCTGGAGGACGAGACAGCCATCAAGGTGCTCAGCTCGTCCAAACTGCTCAGTAACGAAATCGCCGAAAAACAACAGGTGGCCGAGGAGACTCAGAAGAAGATCAGCCTGGCGCGTATGGGCTACACGCCGATCGCCAAACACTCGTCCATCCTGTTCTTCAGCATTACCGATATGGGCTGCATCGACCCCATGTACCAGTACTCGCTGGGCTGGTTCTTCGGACTGTTCGTCAACTCGATCGACAACACTGAGAAGTCGGAGGACTTGGAGAAGCGGCTGTACACGCTGCAGGACCACTTCACCTACTCGCTCTATACCAACGTCTGCCGCAGCCTCTTCGAGAAGGTGAGGGTCGCAGCCGGGAAGATGACTTTGACGAAAGAGCATATGTTTTTATAGTTATACGATGCTACGCACGATGGCTTACGTCCTTTGCATTCACCATGAATATGTATTCGTCTCAGATTGCTCTTTCGTTACCCCTCCCTCCTGATAGATAATACAGCAGTCAGGTAATACAGCACTCAAACAGGCCATCCATCGCCCGCAGCTAACCTGAGCCCGCCGCTGTCGACAGGACAAGCTCCTGTTCTCGATGCTTCTGGCCATCAACCTGCTGCGCGCTCGCGGAGAGCTGGATGAGGCCGAGTGGCTCTTCCTGCTGACGGGAGGAGTCGGCCTGGACAACCCGCACAAGAACCCGGCGCCGTGGCTGCCGCCCAAAAACTGGGACGAGCTCTGCCGGCTCTCACAGCTGCCCACGTTTGCCGTGAGTGTGGGGAGGTGTTGGAGAGTATGGGGAGGCGGTGGAGATAGCCGCCTCCACTATGGTTGCGCGTATCGAGATTGTTTTATGCTTACTGAACAGCTGGGATAACGACGCTGGTTCGGGGTTGATGGATTTTATTCAAATATTGCGTGCTGTTTTCTGGTCTTCTAGCTGCCAGTTTTCCATGAATACCTTCCATTCTGATTCTGAGCCCAGCATTCCATGGGCTCAGAACTATTATAGCCTGCTTTATTTCGGTTAGCAGCTTTAGACGATCTTTCTCCGCCCGGATCAACCATGTTCCCTGCGTAAAGTTAAACAAATGCTTTCTTTCCCATCCCACGTCGCAGGGTATCCGTGAGGAGTTTGAGGCGTCGACCGCTCCGTGGAAGGCCATTTTCGACAGCGTGACGCCGCACAGCGAGCCGCTGCCGGGCCGCTGGAACAAGCTCATCACCCTGGAGAAGATGTGCATCCTGCGCTGTCTGCGACCGGACAAAATGGTGCCTGCCGTGCAGGGGTTCGTCTCAGGTGAGTTCTGTCAGTTAGGTCGGTGGTTATAGCCGCGATATCGAGTGTGTTATAGGGGAGGAGAGTGAGAGAGATGTGATGACAGCGTTACTGGTAGGAATTCACAGGCACACGAGGGTGGTTCATGCAAGGAGGAGTCGATGCGCGCTGTTTAAGGAATGTCGGATGAATGTTTCACCGGTCCAAGGTGTGTCCTTGTTTGCAGTGTATGGACCACTGCCGCATCCCCCGCCGCAGTCACTGTGTCTTGAAATCTGAAGCACCGACTCATGCCAGTTCAGTGTTGGAACTATCTGTAGGAATCTTGGATACATTCCCCACCCTGTTTCTCAGAATGTCTGGACCACCGTCTCACCCCCCCCCCCCCCCCCTCTTTCTCAGAGTGTCTGGACCACCGGTTCATCGAGCCGCCGCCGTTTGACCTGGCCAAGTCGTTCGCCGACTCGCACTGCTGCGCGCCGCTCATCTTCGTGCTGACGCCCGGCGCTGACCCCACGGCCGTGCTGCTCAAGTTTGGAGACGATATGGTGAGAACCGAGTTTGAGAGAACCTGCCACTATGTTGTAGGACCGTGGCGATGTGACACTGGCAGTGATGGGATGGGTAGAGGTAGGTCATTACAAGTCTAAACCGTGCTGCTCCATTTTCCTTTTATGGACTTGAATATGGACGGAGTATCGAAATAAAATATTGCGTTCTATCGTTTTCTAGGCAGACTGGTTTTCCTAAGTGATCTGTCTCCTCGTAGATAAGTGATTCTTCACCAAAATTGTGCACCACTGCCCACTGCTACAGCATCATGTTACGTTATGCGGAAGGTTCAGCTCGCTGCTCATTTTCAACCGCGCTTGCAACGTTACCGCGTGCGATACTGATGATGTCCTGCCGATGCCTTACTAGCGTTCGCCTGCTTCCTGTGCTGATGTGGATCCGCTGTACGTGCGCCCTTCTAACTTCTGTATCCCGGCCCCATCAGGGTTTCAGCGGGCCGAAGCTGCAGTCGCTGTCGCTGGGCCAGGGCCAGGGGCCGATCGCCATGCGCATGGTCGAGGACGGCGTCAAGAACGGCACCTGGGTGGTGCTGCAGAACTGCCACCTCGCTAAGTCCTGGATGCCCTCACTCGAGAAGGTGGGAACAGATCGATACAGCGACTGCCGTTGGCTTTTCGGGGGGGGGGGGGGAGAGGCTGTTTTAGTCACTTGGTCAATGCCGTCTGTAATAGTCTTTACTCTTGCACTCCTCTGAGCTCTACTCTTACTCTCTTCCACTCTTAGCAATCTCCAATCGGCATGGTGATTTCTACGTTACACGCCACGCGTTGTTATATCATGACATTGATTTGCAGTTTACATGGTTTTCAGTTAAAGAGAATCATGAGAAAATTAAAGAAAGGACTATAAGTGCGTCATGCCTCAGTAGGCTCAAGTGTGTCGGCTGGCACTGTCCTTCTTTGCCCACGGTGGTGTTCGACTGTCAGTTTGTTGACAATGACCGTAACCCCTTCCTCTCCCGAGCAGGTGTGTGAGGAGCTGAGCCCGGACACGACCCACCCGGACTTCCGTCTGTGGCTGACCTCCTACCCGGCCGACCACTTCCCCGTGGCGGTGCTGCAGAACGGCGTCAAAATCACCAACGAGCCGCCCAAGGGACTCAGGGCCAACGTTAAACGGTGAGATGGAGGTTGGAGAGAGCGCAGGCCAATGTGAAACTTGTGAGACGGAGGCTGTGGGCCAGCGTCAACCGGAGAGATGGAGACTGGCTGCGCTACTCAATGTTTGACGGTGATATACAGGGATTGTATGAGACGGTTAGCGTTACGCGCACTCTGCTTGAAGATGAGCTGTTGGTGATTTTGTTACCATGCTAGTGCGATATCTTTGAGGGTAATGGTGTTGAGTCATTTTTCACCTTAATGTTTCACAGGAGTCATTTACTGTTTTGATCGATGCGGTGCGATTTGGTGTGTCGGCACTTGTCTGCTCTGTCCCCAGCTCGTACCTGAGTGACCCGATCGTCGATCCGTCCTTCTTTGGCGAGTCCAAGAACCCGAGCTCGTTCAAGGCGCTGCTCTACAGCCTGTGCTTCTTCCACGCTCTCAGTAAGACTCCTCTCCCGATGCGTTATGATACGGAGTGATATGATACGGTGTGACCGTCTCTTGCATGGCTCGCGGGGTGGATAAGAACTGCAGCAGAAACTAAAGAATTTGTCATGTAAATATCCGACCGATTAGTGTGAAGTATGGGTTGTGACAACTGACCATACGGTGCTCCCCGTTTCCAGTCCAGGAGCGGAGGGCATACGGCGCGCTGGGATGGAACACGCCATACGAGTTCAACGAGACCGACCTGCGCATCAGTGTCACCCAGCTGCGTATGTTCCTGGATGACTATGAAGAGGTGAGTCAGGCACGCCTTTGCTGAGAACGTGTGAGGTTTGTCGTGAATGATGCCGGCGTCCAACTCCTGAGCTTAAGACCTGCTACCGCAGCTTACTGTCAGCAGGTCGAAGGCGGTTCATCAGATATTGGTAGTGTCGACTAACGTCGCGCGGTTATACTCGTATTGTGTGATCTACCTGATAAGATAGTTCGCAGCCTGCTCAGAGGTCTGGATAATCGTTGCATATTACAGTTAAGCGCTATATATTTATGTATCACTAGCCGTTGATCGCTCCCTCCTGTTTCCATCTAACCTGCGATCTTCCCTCCCCAGGTGCCATTCGAGGCGCTCCAGTATCTGTTCGGCGAGTGTAACTACGGAGGCCGCGTCACCGACAACTGGGACCGGCGCACCCTCAACACCATCCTGCGACGCTGTCTCTGCAGGGAGGTGCTCACCAAGGAGCGATTCGCCCTCGATGACGATGGTAAGGGAGTGACAGGGTGGGAAGAGGAAAGTGCTGGGCAGGTTAGAGGTTTAGATAAAACATGCAAGATACCAGGCCGTAGAATGGTGATGTGACACGAGACATTTTACTCTGTAATCGGTAGACTGGAAACCTGCATCTGCGGTGGATGTGCGTGCGGTTATGATGGATAAGTGGCGCTGATTATGTGTGTGTGTGTTTTTTTTTTTTTACAAAAATGCACTACGTTAGGTTAGATGCGTTTTCAGCGAAGTGGCTTACTTCTGTCCGGTAGGGGTAAGCATATTACACGGTAACTCCGCCCGCACACCGTTGCACCCCATCCCCCCTAACCCAGCCGCCGTCTTATGTGTGTGTCTAACCCGCACATCACTGCCTCTCTCTCTGCTCGTGCTTTTCACCAGGTCACTACCTGATCCCGCCGGAGGGCGAGCACCAGGACTATGTCGACTTTATCCAGCGACTGCCGATGCTGGCCGCGCCAGAGGTGTTCGGCATGAACCCCAACGCCGACATCACCAAGGACCAGAACGAGACCAACATCCTGTTCTCCAGCGTACTGCTCACACAGGTCGGTCCACGGCGCGGCTTTTATTGTAGTTTTGCGGGTTCTTAGAGACTAGAACGGTGTTGTTTATTGTGTAATGAGAGTCAAGCATTTCAGTTGTATTGCCGACTGGTAGGTTGATGGTCTGCGCTAGAGGATTGACGAGTCTTCTCAACAGACTGTTGGTGAAATGTGCTTTACCTGGTGTTGATTATTGTTTGCTGCCTTCGAACGCTGCAATTAAGGACCGGATTCCCGAATTGGAGGTAAGATTACCGTGAAAGTGTGTATTTTTAAGCATGTATTGCACCTAGCTAGTGACCAACGCATCGCTGACGAAAGCTGCTCACAAGAAGCCCAACCCCTATTATATCGGCATTGTACCCTAAATGCACACCACGATCGCGCTATAATCTGCTCAGGTAGGGAAACTGCTCTTAGGACGTAAATTTTCCGACATCTCACAACAAATATGCACAATTTTGTCGGCTGAGCTAACCACTGTTACATATAACAACCCCAAACGAGGTTCAAGCGTTCCCTGATCACTTGAGCCCGCCCATGACGGCTACTGGCAGGTAGAGACTAATCGCCGCTCTGCCTAGGGACGGACGGGGCGGGGAGAGGGCTGCCCAGCGTGGGAACGGCACAGGCGGCGGTCAGGTTCGACCCTGTTGGTCGGTGGAGCAGATGGACGGCTGGGATTGCATAGTACTGAGGAGGGGATGGATCTGAGTAGAAGCATCGGGACAGGTGGTTAGATGAGCTTTGAGGAATATTGCGCATGTAGAGAATAACGTAAAATTATGGTGTTTGTGGCGTCCAGTCTTGAGCTTGCCATGTGTGCTGAATGGCTGGTGGAATTCGAATAATGAAGTAACGTTTCAAAGGTTAGATTCACTGACGAATGTTCTTCTTAATATGCAGAACGCTCTTTGGTTCCACAATTATGCAGCCTGCGACACCGGACGTAAGCGGAAAGTTGAATGTATGATGAGAAAATGCTACTATTTGTGTTCAAAACTCAGCATCGGTGAGGAGCAGAGCGAAGGGACGCTTTGAACTAGCAGATGTCAGAGTTGTGTAGTTGTACGTATCCCCGGAGCGAATCGTTAATAATGCACACACGACCACTGACGTTGACCCGTCTCGGTCAGGGCGCGGCGACCGGCGGCGGCGGCGCTGCCTCCGACGACGCCGTCTACCACATCGCCGACGACATCGTCAGGCGCCTGCCGGACAACTTTGACATCGACTTTGTGCTGAAGAAGTACCCGACCATGTACGAGCAGAGCATGAACACGGTGCTTGTGCAGGAGATGGGCCGCTTCAACGCGCTGCTCACAGTCATCAGGCAGAGCCTGCTCTCGCTGAAGAAGGCCATCAAAGGTCGGTCAGACAGCGGAAGAGAAGGAAGGGTATTTGGGATAGAAATCCATAGAGTACTTTTCGTTTTAAGGTGTATAATTGGAGTAAATAGCGTTATAGGACGTGCAGAGAAATCTGATGCAGGGTAACAGGTAACATACCGTTCGAGATGCTTGGCGCTTGCAGTTTCTCGTATCATTTGTCAAACACCATTTATGCCTGCAATAGTAATTTTTGTACACTCTAGCCTGTTTTCTGTAGGATCGGTCCGGTAACATCCTTACTCCCCGTCCCGTATCGTCCGATGCTCCGTTCCGTCCGCCCGCACGGCCACTGCGCTATAGGCTGTGCCGCAGTACAGCCGTGCCTTGCGGTACAATCTACATTCAGGCGGCCAGTGGAAATCTTGACTGGAGCTGCCGGGAACGGATGGCCGGAGCTTTCTGTCGGTTGATGACGAGGGCGTTTATCACTATTTGCTTGATCTGAGTGAAGCTAGGGTGTAATGTGCTTGGCTCGTATCGGAATAGCATGTAAGTTGATTATGTGACCGCGTGCCCGGCGCCGCCGCGTCCCGTCCGGCAGGTCTGGTGGTGATGTCTGCAGAACTGGAGGAGGTCTTCACCAGCTGCATGACCGGCAAGATCCCCAGCATGTGGCGCGCCAAGTCCTACCCGTCCCTGAAGCCTCTCGGTAGCTACGTCACAGACTTCCTGGCACGACTTCAGTTTCTTCAGGTCAGTGGGGGACCGTTCAGGCCGACCACACTGGGTAGATAACTGCTAAAGGGCTGCTATATAATTTGCATAGCGGAGTTTAACGAGCTAGCAATTTATAAAATTAGGCAATGCAATATTAAATCTGGAGTGGTAGTTACCGACGGATTCAGTTGCCCAGACGGGAGTATAGCATCACTGAAAATCGGCTCAGGAGCTCCAGCAAGGTGTGTATATGTTACAGACCGTATGAAAACCCAGTCCGTTTGCAAACGGCCTGGCCCAGTCAGGCCGTTTGAAAACGGCCTGAAAAAGCCGGCCGTTTGCAAACCGCCTGAAATATCAGGCCGTATGAAAACGGCCTAGGCAGTTTGAAACGGCCTAGACAGTTTGAAAACGGCCTAGTCAGTTTTCAAACGGTCTGGCGAACTACAGCAGCCTCTGAAGATTGAACTTAATGGATCCAGGTTGGTCGATGGTCAGGTTGCATCCATGTGAATGCTTGCGCATTCCATGCCGAATGACTCGTCTACATACGTCGAACATTTTCTTACTGTGCTGATGCTCGGCCCGGCCGTTTTTCGACAATATTACTAACTATACAAGTTCACGGTCCGCCTGTGTACGGCCATCCAGTTGATGGAGCCTGGTGAAGCCACTACTGGTGAGGTCTGGTGAAACGTATCACTACAAGACACCGATTATTTTACGGCATAAAACGCCGGAGCGCGCAATGGACATCAGAGCTCACATCAGTGGCGCGGGAACCGGGGGGGGGGGGGCTAGCGGGGGCTGAGCCCCTCCATCTTTTCGGCTGGGGGGGGGGGGGGGGGGCTCGTAATGTATTTGAGCCCCCCCCCCCCACACCCCGCTGGAGGAATCGAAATCGGAAATCTACCAACATAATTTCATAGATTCATACATAGGCGCGGGAACCGGGGGAGGGGGCAGTGGGGGAAGCTTGCTCCTACAGCTCTGGGGCCGTGGAGGCAGTTTGTGCCCCACAACTTTTTATGAGGTCAGGAACCGTTGGGGCAGTTTGTCCTCCCCTAATTAGGGGTTGCGGGTCGCAAAGGAAGAAAACATGTTAGTGAAAAATCCACCTCTCTCACTGGCTCGGCAACTCATTTGGCAGATTAAAACCTTTATTCCAGGCTGCCAAACGGTAGTTTCTTCACTCAGCTGAGAAGGAATAGCGGATTTTTTTGCAAATATTTTCGTTTTTTTTTTTGTTGAAAAGGCCAAGGTCCGAAAAATAAGTGGCCTAAAACCGGTGGGAAAACTAGATTTGGGGGTACCCTAGGTTGATCTCTATTATGGTTCAGCCCCCCCCCCCCCCCCCGTCTGGAAGAAGTTCCCGCGCCACTGGTTCACATTAGAGTCCTCACCGCGCCCGGTCGACCGCCGGCGGCTGGCCGGTGGCGTACGCCGGCAATACTTGACCATTGCGGTGGAAGGCGAAACTTTGAAGTCCGGGGGAAGCCCGGGTCGACCGGGCGCTATACGGGCCGGGTCTCAGTTCTGCTAATCTCTTCCTGACCACTGACCAGGCCTGCATTCGTCATCGGGAAAATGAGGGATAGTTTTCCGGAACTAGCGAGAATCATCGGGGATCACGAACGGTATCGCGATAACAAGACATGCTGAAGATAGGCGCTCAACAATAATTTTCCGACGGAGAATATCCGAGTGACAATATTTTTTTCCGAATGCCGAATGCACCTCAGGATTTCATGGTGCCATGTAATGTCATGAAACGGTCGTGCTTCAACAAACTCAACATTGTCCAGCTGTAACTTTATGCAGACCAGATTGTTTTCAAAATGTCTAGACCGTTTGCAAACGGCCTGGTGTCTGGAAAGTTGTCATACGGCCTAGACGGTCTGCAAACGGCCTGAAATTTCAGGCGGTTTGCATACAGCCTGGAATTTCAGCCCGTATTCAAACGGCCTGACTTTTCAGTCCGTTTGCATACTGACTGGGCTGTCCAGGCCGTTTGCAAACGGCCTGAATCGGGCCAGGCCGTTTGCAAACGGACTGAGTTTTCATACGGCCTGTAACATATATACTAGCTGTGTTAATAAGTTGAACATGATTTCCTAGTTAGGGCATCCTTTCCATGCCTACACTTGAATAATCTCCTGTCGGTTGGTGAATATGGTGGTAAAATGGTGTTTAGGGGAAGTTACTGTTTCACAGGCAGCTTTGCTAGCGAGCTTCCAGTATGGGGTCAATCATCATATAACATCCTCCATCTGTGGCCTTGCGCTTTCGGGGACAAAAAAATAACACACTTTCGTAACTAGTCCCATGATTGTCTGTTCGTTGATTAATCAAGTTTTCTTGTCATTTATCCTTTTGAATTTTTTATTCACAATATAATAATCACGGTCGATACAGCTTTTAGTCAGTGTGTCATTCTGTCGGCGCTCGAGACTCTGGGCATCCTCAACCTGCCTACACCCCCACCCCCACCCCCATCCCCGTGGAGCGACATCTCCCCATCGACCGGGCCCGTCGAATGAATAAATGAATGAAAGTCGAGCGGAGCGCGGCGGGCCCCAAAGCCGCGCCCACTGCCCTGCTATACTCCACAGCCGTCGTCCGGAAAGCAGTCGCGCTTGTACGCCAAAAGGCGGGATTTAGCTCGGCGTTTGGTTTTCGATTTCGTCAGAATTTTCGGTCGAGTGGATTTATAAAGAGCGCTAACGGCACTCGTAAAGTGCAATGGTCTGTAAACTGAGGTTCTGGACTAGCTGGATAGGAAATATTAAGTTAGAGTTGGAGAAATCCTTGTCGATGGTCACAGGAATTTTAATAGGTCGCGACTTTACGTGGTCTTCGCACACTGCTCACCACCTCTTTGTAGTTTTTACACAGTGTAGCAGTAAGTGTGGCCAATGATAATCCACCTTTGAAAGGTTTACGACATTTACGATGAAGCAATTAATCACCTTTGGTTTGTTATGCGGGCCGCATAACCCAAAATTTGACAAATTAAGTGTCCCAAAATTTGACAGTTTGAGTGGGAAATGACATCCAAATCAAAATAATTTTCCACTCTCACCTCCAACTTTCCAGAGCATTTTTTCACTCCTATTTTACCAATAAAGAGCATCTGCGGGTACCTTTTGCCTCCCTTAACCCGCGCCCCGTAGGGCTACCGGCGGACCCTACCACCCGTAGGGGGGGGGGGCCGTTTCGGCCCCCCCCCCCTAAGATCTCGGAAAGTTACCGGCCGATTTTCAAAATTCAAACGGCGTTTGATAGCCCTACCCGGGAACTACCTTGTGACCAAATTTCATTGACCTAGGTCAAACCGATGACGTCACAGGTCAGGTCAAAGGTCAGGTTTTCACCGTTCACAGGCAATTCAAGAAATGTGCTGTGAAATCGAGTAAATTGGTAATTTATTGAAAACCATCGATGGTATATTGTTCGTCAAACACATACTTTGCTATCTGAGGTCACTGATACCAGGTCAGGTCACAGCGAGGTCAGGTCACCGGGGGTCACAATATGAATGTGTCGTGTGATACTTGTTTTATGGTCCATTTTACATGACAAATGCGATTATGTGGGTTAGGCAGCCTTTGGGGCCAGCCTAGGTCACGTTTTGGTGAAGGTCAGGTCAAGGTCAGGTCAAATTAGGTCAAATTTCAAAGTTAATATTTTTGCATAAAATGGGTATCCATTCGATGCAGCTCGTCACGGGGAGTCTAATGGTGGTCTTTGTTTTGCTCTACAAGTTCCAGAATTGCCAAAAATTGAGTTTGAAAATTTGACGTCATCATTTTTGAACAGTTTTTTCGCTATAACTTGGCCAAAAAACGAGGTATCGATCTGAAATTTGGTATGTAGATAGAAGACGGTAGGTACTATCACATATATTCCGGTTTTTCGAAACTCAAAAAACTTTTTGGATTTTTTGGCTAATATATCCAAAAGAAATGCTTTTTTGATTTTTGGGGATCAAAACTCAAAAATTTCAAAAATCCGAGATAGCAGTTTTGTAGCCCTGTCAATTCTACACCTTTTATGTCTTGATCATTTTTCTGTATCTTCAAAGCTGTAGGCCTGACAGGTCTTCTCGCGAAGGTCTTTTTTCGGTCGAAAATGACAGAACATGACGTCACTCTGACGTCATTTGTGGCCAACCTATCACAGCCTCTGGGAAAATTTTTGGTCACAATGTGTAAAATTGATGCCCGGAGGGGTCCTTAAAGTTTGGTGGCGATATCTCCAGCCGTTTAGGAGATATCGACCGAAAAGGACAGGGGGGGGGGCCGTTTCGGCCCCCCCCCCCTACGGGGCGCGGGTTAACCCTGCGGCCGCTGGGCCTCCGCGCCACCCGCCGGCCGCTGGGGGGGGGGGGGCATATAGTTGCCCCCCTTTACTTCTGCGACGATATCGTCGCAACGCGAAGAGATAGAGAAGCGAAACTTTGCACATATCTTCCTGAATACCTAGCCGAGGTTGTGCCCAAATTTGGTGTTGATCTCATCTGAGATGACGTCACAGTGACGTCATAAGTGAAATTATAGATTTGCGACTCTCATATTCCTTACGATACATCAGATATATGGGACCGAATATAAAGGACCGATTTTTGGTCAGAAACTAGATGGAAGTGTAGTTAGATGTTTTAGGATGACAGCAGGTGCTGTCTAGTTCAATTACAGTTGAGTTTCATGCTCAGCGTCATCAGAAACGGTCCATATCGGAAAACAGCAAAACTTTATGACGTCACTGTGACGTCATCTTAGGTGCTAAAACCACCAAACTTTCCTCAAACATTGCCTAGGTATTCATTTGAAGCTATGCCAAGTTTCACGTTCGTAGCTCATCAGGTTTCGGAGATATGTCACAAAACGTAAGGGGGGGCAACTTTATGCCCCCCCCCCCCAGCGGCTCGTGGGTTAATTTTCGATTTAATTATCTTTTAAAGCAGCTCCCACCTCCTTCAACATTCACAAATACATTGTTGATCCCTGTTTTTCGCTCTTTTTTGTGCTTTTCTGACTGGCATTTTTCCACTCTCAGCCCTCGTTCTAGTGGCGAATATTCCCCTCCGACACCCAAGCCGAAATATAATTTTGGGACGCCGTGTTATGCATGTAACATTTTTAGGAAAACCCATCAGTTAACCAGTCATCCAATCACCGCCCTCTCACCTTATCATATCAGTGTCATTGGCAGCTGCATTATAGCTCGATTTCCTATGCAACATAATTTTCATTACGCCATCTGAAAGCAGTTACACCCGTGTACTCTATGTATGCCCCGGCCTGTGTCCCGGCCGCCCATTCTCGTCTTGTCATTCCACGGGAGGTCGGGTGGGGTATGTCCGGTCTACGCTGCTGCGCCGGCCCCGGCGCAGCTCATAAACTGGCCGGCCGGACCCGGAGCCGGACCGGCGACCGGAGTTCGGTCAGCTCCGGACGCTCTGATACGTGCGGACTGATGGAGGACTGGTGTCTGTAGGGTGTGTAAAGGGATGAGAAGCTCTCTTAGTCGGGTGGGACGCGGGTTGGGCGAACTTTGTTGAATGATGGAGACAAAGGCAAACGTCAATATCACAGTCAGCAATGCAGGATGTGGCTTCATGCAGTGGGTGGGATATGAAAGCGATCCAAGGGCGCAACTGACAGCAACCTTAGAGCATGGTCCGCAGAGGGACTGGAGGAGCCGGAACTGGATTGGGTCTGTGGCGCGCTCGGTCGGTTCAGCTCGTGCGCAGTTGTCTGTGGGACACTACGCAGCGGAGCAGGGAGGGAGAGAGGGAGGAGAGAGGAGGGGAGCCGGCGATCGACCGGAGGCCGCCCGCCGCCCACGGAGCTCCCCTGACGCTCTGCCTGCCCCGCGCGCCGCGCCGCCGAGGGACTGGCCGAGGACGAAACAGGGACGGACCCCTGACAAACAGGGACGAAACCAACGAAACAGGGACGAAACCAACGAAACAGGGACGGGGACCCCTGACGAAACAGGGACGGACCTCAGACGAATACAGGGACAGAGGGATGGACCTCTGACGAACCCTTAGACGAAACAGGGACCGGCCTCGGACGAAATAGGGACGGACCTCGGACGAAACAGGGACGAGGATTCGAGGATGATTTTAGTAAAGGAGCCTCTGAACAGGGTATATTGAAAGAACCTCTGACGGTGGGCCGGACATGCGACTGTGAGACTTGACGGCGGGCTTGTGACAGTGTACTGACGGACCTGGGCGGTTTAGGGCCTTTTGAACTTGGGACGGAAGTCCGGGTCTTCACGGCCATAGTTCTCCATCCCACGCCTGGTCGGCGAATCGGTGAGACCCGGACACGTATCAGCGTGCCTCTCGCGGATATGATTCACCGCTATGGAATCGGGGCTTCTATTCAAAGCGCCGGCACATACCACACCATCCCAAATCGCTACGTTTGCTTACATCAGAACAAATCGATGACGCTATCGGGCATAGTGCGCCGCTGGCACCGGTTTGCATGACATTTCGGCGTCCGTCCTGAAAACTTTTCGTCTCGGGTGCGTCAAATTGGAGGGAAGGACGGTCGTAGATCAGAGCCGGTGTGCCGCTGACCTGGAAATTCACCGGCAGTCGGGCTGGATAACGATCCCCAGTCGGTGCAAGTCGGCGCGCGGGGCTGTGGCCGATGTGGTCTGTCCAGCCGGCTGCCGCCTCCGCTGATATGACTCGCAGCTTTGTTCGGTGGCGAGAGTGTTATACTTATAGTAAGAAGGCGGTAGTAGCATGTATTGCGTGCGTGGTGTGGTGTGATGTGGTATGTAAACCGATGCAGTTGGCTGCGTTACAAGTGGCTGCGATTCAATTTTCCGAAAACTTTGGTCTGATGTATAAAGTTTAACTCATTACGACGTTGCCGTTGTGTCTTCATTGGATGTGACGGCTGTCTGCGGTCTTTGAATCGTTTCCTGTATGGATTTTTGACAGATATTTTTTAGTTCGCTCTGTGACAGAAAAGCAGACGTAGGTACTATTTTATGAGCCGGTCGGCTGTCGTAGTGGCGAACTGCAGCCCATGCTGGACGGATGATCGTCCTAATCTGTGTTAAAAATAAAAGTTGTCTCACTCACGATACAAAAAGATCATATTCTACAGTCTGTTGACTTTATCAACCGTCTACTGACCCGTGTTTTGCGCCACACCGTCAGAAATGGTACGAGGAGGGCCCGCCGGTGGTGTTCTGGGTCTCTGGCTTCTACTTCACGCAGGCCTTCCTGACGGCCGCCCAGCAGAACCTGGCGCGCAAAAACACCATCCCCATCGACCTGCTCACATTCGACTTCCAGGTAAGAAACTGGGAGGTTTGCTGACATGGTGAGAAACTGGGAGTGTTAAGTACACGGCTGGAAGTTGGGAGTATGAGTGGCTCACACTAGCATCACAACACGGTAATAGCAAGGCCCTAAATACACGGTACTATGTAGGCTCGTGGGACTGGCCGATATCAACAGGCTCGGTCGGAGTACCGACCGAGCGGCCGTGGGCAACTTCCGGCAAAAAAATCATAATGAGTGAGCGCCGGAGTGACTCAAACTTTTCATATTTTTCAGCTTCAGCTTCCGGATCGTTTATGAAATTGGCTAATCTTATTTCCATTTCCACGTTCCAGCTCCAGACTAGACAGACGTTACACTATCACGACGCTTTGCTGTTGTGACAGACGCCACTGTTTTATCTCCGTCTCCACCAGGTACTGGAGGACAAAGACTACACGGAGCCACCCGAGGACGGCGTCTACGTCACCGGCCTCTTCATCGACGGCGCCTGCTTCAGCCGGGAGAAGAAGGTGCTGGACGAATCGCCGCCCAAAATACTCTACGACACGCTGCCCGTGCTCTGGATGAAACCCGTCAAAAAGGTAGGACCCGGGAGAGACGTCCAGCGAATTCTACTGCCTTTGTGTTATATGGAGTCGTCCCGATGTGGTGCTTCGTGGGTTGTTTCTGTTTCAGATATGACGGATTCCGGACACTAGTTTTTTCACATCGGATGTAAATTATGAATTATAGTAGAGCATCTCGGATGAGTACGACTTTTGCATGACCTGTGATGTGAACCCCACCATGATGTCAGCCGCCCTTTTACAGCCGCCTGTGATCTGCCATGTGGCGTGACCTCTTTCTCCAATGTGATCTTCCTTCCCGTCCTATCACTCCCCAGGACGAGCTGCCGGAGCGTCGCAGCTACACGTGTCCCTGCTACAAGACCTCGGAGCGCCGCGGAACGCTCAGCACTACGGGACACAGCACTAACTTCGTGCTGGCCATCGAACTGCCCACCGACCGGCCTCAGGAGCACTGGATCCGGCGCGGCGTGGCGCTGCTCTGTCAGCTCTCCGAGTAGAACGACACACGGGAAAGACGCTGGTGGGGAGGCAGTGATAGACAGGGTTACAATGAGGTGTAGATCGCGTGGCGAAAGGCGGTGGGTGGATTTACTCGGATTGAAAGACGCTTGTGATGGTGGTGTGAGAGGGAAATGGACTCGTGACGCCATGATATTTAGTAGCGCGGCGTGGTAAGGCTCGCCGAGTGACTGAACCTTTCCATGAGCCGGTGTAACTGCAGTGGCCTCATGTATGATAAGGCGAGGGCTTTACGCCCACAGTGGTTTATGTCGATCGATCCGACTGTCCGTCCAGGTGCGGCCGGGACTGAGGGATGAAAACGATGCTAGTCAGGTACGATCTCAGAAAGTATAGATATCCTGCGATCTCAGGAGACAGTTATACCAAAGAGCTCTAGTCAGGAGGTGAGGATTGGCATGGATCGTGCAGCAATCTTGTATGAAATACAAATTTCCAGTTTGACAACAAAGGCGTATGATTGGAAGGAAGGGCTAGATGAGGATGATCGATTGGATGAGCCGATAGCGACTCGCTGTGCTGTTGCCAGCCGGACTCTAGGTATCCAGCCGGCAGTAATAGCTTTCAGTCGCTGTTTCCTAGAGAGCCGACATACATAAACGCGCCGGCTCCTAAAGGTCGGCATAAATTCAGAGGAGACCGCTCGACGGCAGAACCGGCCGTCTCACTTTTACGCTCTCGAGATAAAGGTTGTACGGCGAACGGCCGCCCGGGCTGCGATCTGGCCCCCGTTCTGCCGACCTTTCGCCGCACCGCCCCTAAACTGGATGAGGCCGGCAGTAAACCCGTGATGAGGAGCAGCCATAGACGGATGTCGACCAGAAAATCACCCGAATGGCCGCCACGGGCCCGGCAGAAAATCTCGGATGGGCACAGGTTGGACTTGGGCGGCCTAGCGGACAATGGAAGGAATGTATAGTCTGATCTGGCCCAGTGACACAGTGAAACATGCCGATCAGCCAGAACGGATTGACAATCACCCGTGGAATCCTGACAACTCCGCGGCATGTCGTAAACCTCGGCTGCAAATATCTAGCGACTTAAAAAAAAAAAAACTTTAGGGAGCGATCGCGACTGAACAAAGGCGTATGATTGGAAGGAAGGGCTAGATGAGGATGATCGATTGGATGAGCCGATAGCGACTCGCTGTGCTGTTGCCAGCCGGACTCTAGGTATCCAGCCGGCAGTAATAGCTTTCAGTCGCTGTTTCCTAGAGAGCCGACATACATAAACGCGCCGGCTCCTAAAGGTCGGCATAAATTCAGAGGAGACCGCTCGACGGCAGAACCGGCCGTCTCACTTTTACGCTCTCGAGATAAAGGTTGTACGGCGAACGGCCGCCCGGGCTGCGATCTGGCCCCCGTTCTGCCGACCTTTCGCCGCACCGCCCCTAAACTGGATGAGGCCGGCAGTAAACCCGTGATGAGGAGCAGCCATAGACGGATGTCGACCAGAAAATCACCCGAATGGCCGCCACGGGCCCGGCAGAAAATCTCGGATGGGCACAGGTTGGACTTGGGCGGCCTAGCGGACAATGGAAGGAATGTATAGTCTGATCTGGCCCAGTGACACAGTGAAACATGCCGATCAGCCAGAACGGATTGACAATCACCCGTGGAATCCTGACAACTCCGCGGCATGTCGTAAACCTCGGCTGCAAATATCTAGCGACTTAAAAAAAAAACTTTAGGGAGCGATCGCGACTGTAGCAAGGCGGTCCGTGCTGGCGACGCAAGTTCTTCCTTGTCGTATGACGCACAACGTTTGTCTTGCGAACGGCAAGCACATACTTTACTCTCGCAGAATCAGGCGATGGAGAGTCCGGTATGTAACAGAGCAGAGCTCCCCAAGGTAAGCTGGTAAAGCCGTCGTGGGTCTCATGGCGGCTCTACAATCTACGCAACGCTGCATCTATTAAACTGTGAATACCAGGTAGCTATTCAGGTGTAATGTCATTTTATGTCCGATTTAGGTCGTGCTGTGTAGTTTACCAGTAAAACGCCTTTTGGGCGAAGAACGAGCGAGCGAGATAGTGAGCCCTGCACGTGCGGAAGGGCGAGAGGGTGCCTCCAGCGGGCTTGCGCAAAGCACCCTTCTAACTGGTCGCTAGCGGTGTGCCAAATTTGAACGCAATCGGCCCAGCCGTTCCTGAGATCTGGAAGCGGCATTCTGCACGTGCGCACGTGCAAACGGGGTCCAAAATGACTTTTGCACGGCACCCTACTAACTGGTCCCCAACCGTGTACCAAATTTGAGCGCAATCGGCCCAGCCGTTCTCGAGATCTGGAAACGCCCCCTGCACGTGCGCACGTGCAGTAGCACCCTAACCGTAACACATGGGAATGCATTGCCTGGTGGGTGCCTACCTGTATGCCAAGTTTCAGCGAAATCGCCCCAGTAATTACCGAGTTACTGAAATGGGAACAAATTTGGCACCTCTTATTGTTGTATTTTGCACGTGCACTGGGGGTGACCCACATGCATCGAGAGTATCCTATTTTGGGTAGAAGGGATGCTGCTGCCCTACAAAAATTACCGCAAGTCAATCGCCCAAGCGGCTGCTGAGATATGAGCCTCTCAAAATCACTACTTTTGCAAAACAGCTTGAACACCCCTGACTTTTCACGTGGCACGTGCCACGACGGTCACTGAGATGTATCAAAAGTAGTCAATTACGGGGTAGAAGGGATGGGGCTACCCAACAAAAAAGACCGCAGGCCAATCGGTCCAGCGGTTGCTGAGATATAAGCCTCTCAAAAGCGTTACAGGCCGGGCCGGGCCGGGCCGGGCCGGGCCGGGCCGCTCATACTGAGATTTTTCCGTTATATTGAAAAGACTCACTTCGCTCGCTGCGCTCGCTCGCTCGTAACAATTGTTCGGAAGCTATTCTGGTGTATGTACAGGTTTTTGTTTATATATCAGTTTAAAACTGGAAGGTTTGCTAGTCTTTAACCAAAATGTTTATCCAACGTATTCATTGTGTATATCTTATGCTACTTCAGCATTAAGAGGCCATTAGAAGATTATGCAAGAAGGATGACAAATGATTGACCCTGACCAGCAAACCTTCCACATCGGCACATTACAAAGAAGAATGAAACATAACAAGACAGACAGGGATGGAAGACTGAAAGTGGTCAAAAAGGTGTAAAAAGACCGTGTAAAAACCATACATGGAAGGGTCGGCCGGCGACCGCCAGCTGCCAGCAGCTCAACCAATCACAGAACGGAAAAACTGTCCTCCAGCCGGGTCAGGGCAGCTTTCGGCACAACAGCACAAGCTATGGCTAAAAAGGCGGGTTAAACGTCGTTTTATCGGATGCATTTACGCGACAGATGCGTGGCTTTAACTAATGTATTTTGCAGTCTTTGGCCGAGGCATCATTCTGCGTAGAAATGACACGAACGGTGCGAGAGACAATGCGGGGGTGAGCGCCGCCGCTCGGCCGGCGCACCAAACAAACAAGCACGAGCGCCTATGGACGACACAACACGAACAAAGGCTACAGCTAACACATACCGAGATGGCGCGGGGGCCCCACCCCCGCCGCATGCCGCTATGTACAGAGTATATGGGATATCTGCTAGCTGCAACCTTGTAAATATCACAGTATTGTCGCCGGTAGCCACGCGTCGAATCGTTTTGATTGCAGAGAGAAATATTCCAGCCTCCGATGTGACGCTCAGGCGCGCTGAGTTAGTCGTGCGTTCTGCCAAAGTGACCGAAAAACCGTGGCCAGGTTCCGCCAAGTCAGCACTGTAACAATCATCCCGTGTTTATTTGCTCTCTGAAAGACAGCTTTGGAACTACGGCCTTAGCTAGAAATCCCTCTTTTCGTTTCCTCCCATGTCAGTTAAATAACCATAAAAACATTGCAACACATGTCTGGCGTTTCAAACAGGGGTGGCGGCGGCGGCGGGAGCGCCTCACGCCGACACGCTCTCAACCATTGTCTTCTTCATAATCTGGCCAATGTTCTCGTCCGCGGGCGGCGCGTGCTTGGCTGCGCACTCGTCCACATCGACCCCCGAGTCCTCGGAGGGCGGCGTGCCGCAGTAGGACGCGGTGCCGGCCGTGCTGGCGGCCGAGGTGACGGTCGGGCCGCCGCTGCCGGCGCCGGACGCCGCCCAACCGCCGAACTTGTCCTGCAGCAGGTCGGCCAGCGACTCGAGCTGGCCGCCGGCTGGCCGCGGCACGCTCCGCAGGTCCGTGTACTTGCGCTCGTCGCCGGCGGCGGCGCCCGTGTTGGCCGGCGCGGCCGGCTCCGGCGGGAAGGCGGCGGCGCCGGCGGCCGGCGGGCCGGCGAAGCTCGCCGCCGGCGCCGCCGCCGGGTACGAGCAGGCGGCCGGGTCGTACGGGCCGGCGGCCGCGTACACGGGCGGCGCCGGCTCGTACGAGCAGCCGGCCGCCGCCGGGTAGCTCGGGTAGCCGCACGACGGCGGGTAGCCGGCGGCCGGCGGCGCGGCGCTGGCCACCGGCGCGCCGCCGCCGCCCGGGCCCGGCCCCGAGGTCGGGTACTTGTTGAACGGGTAGCTGTAGTGCGGCGCCGGCGCCGGGTAGTGCGAGCTGGCCGTGTAGCTCTGGCAGACCGTGTACGGCTGCGGATAGCCGGACAGCGCCGCCGTCTGGTAGGGCGGCGCCGCGCCCGGCAGCGGCCCGTAGTTCTGCAAACCACCCTCGAACGAGAAGCTCGAGTAGTGCGACTGCGTCTGCGGCGGCTGGTAGGCGGGCGGCGGGGCGGCCGCCACCGCCGCGCCGGCCGTCTCGTAGCTGCCGTCGCTGCTGCCGTCGCTGTTCTCCGAGTAGGATGAATCCTCCTGGTATGGGGCGGACAGCTCGGCGAACGCTGCCCCTCCCCCGGTCGCCGCGTACCCGCCGTTCGGGAACTCCTGCTCGGCCATGTACTGCTGGCCGGGCGAGGCGGCGCAGCCGGCCGTTTTCTGCCAGCCGCAGCTCGCCCAGCCGGCGGCGCCCGCCCCGCCCGGACCCGGCCCCGATGGACCGGGCGCCGGCGGCGGAGGCTGCTCGCGCATGATGGTCTCCACAAAGTGAGAGCGCACGCGGCTGGGGTTGAACTCGATGCGGCCGGAGGGGTTCTGGCAGCCGTCTCGGGTGCAGCCGCAGGGGAAGTTCTGTCGGTCCACCTGCCGGGTTAGACGCCACAGGTCACGGGGGCCATGGGGGCACGGCATTAGCAGTAACTTGGTGCTGAGCCTGTCTTTACACAAAGCAACGAGACAGAGCTCCAGCTATCATCGATACCTGAGCGAATGTCACGATCCACTCCGCGTAATAAACCCACACACCCAACCATGAAACCACACTGCCATCTATCTTCTCAACAAATTGCCTGCACTCCCTCCCATACTCAATCACCAAATCTCACAACCAATGCCCACAATTATCCCACCCACCCATCCCTTTCTCCGCCCCCCTGCCCCCCCCCCCCACCAGTCCCACACACCCACCTGGCACTTGATGCCGGCACCTGCACACTGGCAGTTGTCAGGTCGGCAAACCACCTTGCACGCGCAGCCGCAGAACTCTCGCGAGGTGCGGATGTCTCGACATTCGTCCTTCTCCATCGGTTCAATCTTACGTACTCCGGAGGCTCGCAGTAGAGCCCTCCGCTGCCGCGTCGACACCGGCTGGGGGGACAGAGAGACGGGTGGGTGGGGGTCAGAGGGGGCTGGAAATCGGGGAGTTTGTGCATACGTGACGACCTGGGCGAACTGGGGAGACATATATTTTATAAAAATGCACCAATGGTCAGTGGTGTAGTGGATATTCATCAATAGACATAAGTGGTCATGCAGCTGAGCACCTACGAGCTATCAGCATATGTCTTATGAATCGTTCTATTGCTCCCACTTCACTGATATCTCTTTCCGTTTCCGTTATCGACCTGTGTTCTTTGACTGCATAAGCAGGTATCCCGTTCAACTAAACTGCAAACAAGCTTGGGGTAAAAACAGATGACCTTGTAACAGTCGGTTCGTCAAACAGGTGTTTGCACAGAGTCCGTGTCCCCGCGCCGCGTCACTTCCGTCAGCTTGCGTCACATACTCCCACGTCACGTCACGCCGACTCCGACGTCACTGACGGAGTCACAGTGGCGCAGCCAGGGGGGGGTCAGAGGGTCAGCTGACCCCCCCGAAATTTCTGTCAGGGGCCCGCTCGAGAGAGAGAGTGAGAGAGAGAGAGAGAGAGAGAGAGAGAGAGAGAGAGAGAGAGAGAGAGAGAGAGAGAGAGAGAGAGAGAGAGAGAGAGAGAGAGAGAGAGAGAGAGAGAGGAGAGAGAGAGGTCCTAATCTAATCGGACGAGCCCGCTTCGAGAAATGCCCACTGCGACACCTCGGGTGAGGGGTCGGCCTGGGGCCCCAGGTGGACAGGGCCCGGGCCCCCATGAGAACGGGCCCGGCCCCCTGGGTGGATGGGACCCGGGCCCCCTGTAGATGGGTCCGGGCCCCCGGGTGGATAGGACCCGGGCCCCCCGGCGGATGGGGCCCCGGTGGATGGATCCGAGCCACCGGGAGAACGGGCCCCGGGTGGACGGGGCCCGGACCCCCGGGTCCCGCGAGAACGGGTCCAGGCCCCTCGGGTGGATGGGGCCCGAGGCTCCGGGAGAACGGGCCCGGGCCCCCTGGGTGGAGGGGGCCCGGGCCCCCGGCTGGATGGGGCCCGGGCCCCAGGGAGAACGGCCCTGAGCCCCGGGTGGACGGGGCCGGACCCCCGGTTGGATGGGGCCCGGGCCCCGGGAGAACGGGCCCGGGCCCCCTGGGTGGATAGGGCACGGGCCCCTGGGTGGATAGGGCACAGGCCCCCGGGTGGATGGGGCCCGGGCCCCGGGAGAACGGGCCCGGGCCCCTTAGGTGGATGGGGCACGGCCCCCCGGGTAGATGGGGCCAGGGCCCCCCGATGGATGGGTCCGGGCCCCCGGGAGTACGGACCCCAGGCCCCGGCTGGATGGGGCCCGGGCCCCCTGGTGGGCGGGCCCCGGAGCCCCGGGTGGACGAGGCCCGGAGCCCAGGTGAACGTGGCCCGGGCCCCCGTATGGATAGGTCTTGGTCCCCCATGTGGATAGGGCCCGAGCCCCCGGGTGAATGGGGCCCGCTAGGGTGACCCGCTTGCTTCGCAACGCGAATAAGGGGTATTTTCGATCGGTGGGCGTTTGGTTGGTCTTGTGTCTGTGGGTTATGTATCCATTACGGTCGATTGCCTTTTGACGGCTAAGCATTTTGGTTTTGGGAAAAAATATCCATCGCATCGAGGTGCTCGTGTCTGATAATAACCATGCGTTCTACTATAGAACATGCCAAGTGTATTTCATGACATAGGTTGGCGTAGGTTATTGAAGAGTGAAAGCCATCGATGAATTACTATGTAGAGGTTTGAAACGTTTATATTCTTAAGAATATTGTTGCTCGTCATGCAAAAGCGATGATTGGACCTTGGTCACAATTGAATGCTCTTCCAATCTATGCCCATCTCAATTGTCAAACATACCAGGTTATGTAGCAAAACCCCTGTAATTAAGTAAGTCATAAGCAAATGCTATTTTCTCCAGCAATTTGTTCCACCTTGTTTTTGATCAATTAGCTTTTCACAATTTTCCTATGAGAGGCGGTAGGTACATTTCTCTTGCCAACAAGCGTTGTTTGAACCCGCTCCGTCTGACAGTCACCCAAAAATAGCATTAAGTCCAAAATCCGTCCAAAACGTCAATTTTTCAAGCATAAGTGCCCTCACGGGTGCACGTGGCGCGTACCATCCCTGCACCGCACACCATTCGATAGCCCGTTCGATTCTCATGCACGATACTGTGTTCCTCGTGCCGATCGGACCCACGGTTACCGAGATACTGCACGGGGACCGGACCCGTGTCGGGCAAGTTGAGCCATTGTCGCCCATTTTTGCAAGCCGATTTATGCATGTAAAGTCTATGACGCGAATTTGCACTTTTTGAGCACGCGCCATGTGCTCACCACCGGCCCGATCGAGCTGTGACTCTTCACAGGCACGTTACCCATCCTTGTTCTATAAGTTGCGCGAATTTCAGCGCACTATGGAAGTTACGTCGCGATCAGCCGCTTTTTTACGCGAGTTCTTCGCGAAAAAAACCTTAGGGGGTTGCATCAACCCCTCCCTCCTGTGCCGGCGAGGGCTAAAACTTCTTACGAGCGAATTCACGTAATGAAGAAGAATAAAAGCACAATCTACTACAGCAGCCAATAGATGACTTAGGACAGGCACATGGGACTACTTTTAAATCTTGTGCGACAGAAGCAGGCAACAGTTCCGATTGCATATAATATGCTATGCATATTGCGGAATTGGGGCTCATATCGGACTCGAAAGATACGAAGTCATACGTCATAGTAACATATTTCTGTCGTGGTCAATTTGCGTAAAAAGTGAAGACCGGGTGATTACCGAGCTACTGTTCTATGCAAATTTTCTGATTCAAACTCGCTCAGGGTTATCGTGCAGGTAAAGGGGGCCCGCCCAGCAGAATGCGTATGAAATATGGAGAGATTCTGAAAAATGGGTGGGGGCCCGCACACTAGGGGGCCCGCTTTGGAAGCGATGACCCCCCCGAAACGAAATCCTGGCTGCGCCACTGCGGAGTCATTCAGTATCCGACTCCAGAATGAGACTACTAGACATGTGACGGCAAAGGGCCGTAGGAATACCCTTCGCAACTCCAGTGACAGCGTTTGTGGAATCGCGGAAGCGTTTCTTTTCGTCGGGATTTCCGAACCGAATAAATAGTAGGCAGAACGACCTACAGCCGCCCGCAAAGCCATATTCAGCAATGGCATTTAAACACAGCAATCGCAAACCACACTGGCATTTCAGCAGTGCTATGACGCTCGGCTATGAATCTTTCATTCATGGGAAAGTGGAGTTAAAAATTACAGAGGGTGGGGCGTGGTACGACTAACAGAGCTGTCAACGCCAACACGTTCCTACGCCCTCAGCGGCGTTCAACCAGGAGTTACAAACCGCCATCAGGTCAACAAGGTAAGTGATGCAACGCGCTCCAGTTCTGTCTCACACCAGCCGAAGTGTGGGACGTGGAGCGACTTTCAGTTGACGCAAGCCCGGGATTTTCCACCACCGACCCGAGAGTAGTTCACTTTCATCAGTCTAACCCGCCGACGAACGACCGGCGCCTTTCCGTCGCCACCTTCCGTCCTTTGTTCGACACTCGACAGGCAGTCGCTCCCATCCCACGGGCCTAGCGCTCAGCCCCCTCCGGCTCTCCGCACCCCCTCCCCAGTGGCGGGCAGTGCCCGGGGCGGCCACGCGCCGCACCCCTCCCCTCCCCATCCTGCACCGCACGTGCCCCCCCCCCCCCCCCCTCCGGCGTCGACAGTGAGTCACAGCGGCCCGGCCGCAGTGGGCCAAAGTTAGCCGGCCTCGGCCGGTCTGCCGCCGGCGTACGCACGCTCGGTCGGTTGACCCGAGGCAGCAGCCGACGTTAGGTCAACGAGCCGTCGGAACGGAAAAACAACGGCGGTAAGTCGGAACACGTGCTGTGAAAAATAAATAATGATATAGGAGACCGATATTGGTCCAGTAGTAACGAGACCCCCGGGCGCATTACTCAACGCACCCGGCACCAGTATATTGTCAATGGATGAACTCAACACAAAGTGTGTGTGTGTGTGTGTGAAGTGTGTTACCTATATTTTTGTGTTACCTTTATTTGTAAGTGCATCTTCCATCAGCCCTTCTGATTCAATCATAACCGAACTGATGTAGGATCGGGCAGTATTTCATCAGCTTGCTCTGTCATCCAGTGAAGTGGAACACTGTAGCAGCTGCCAAAGCCCTCTATTATGTGGCACCTGTCCGCCCGCCCCTCACCAAAGAAATCGGCGCTATCGGAGCCACGTTCACCGTGGACTCGTGTCGAGGAGTTCCCCTGCTCGGGTTCCTCGGCCTCTCATTGGAGTAATCAGAGACTGCAAGTGTTGCTATCAGCTATCGGCCTCTCATGTTCACTGACTCATCACGCGGAAACTATCGCACGGCGATACGAAATCAAAACAGTCAAACCAAACGAAGCCTGTCATCTTTCAAGCATCTCACCTTTTGTGTAAAATCTGACCTGCGACACATCGTGAGGAAGTTGCTATTGTCTTCTGTTTAGTGACTGATTTTAGAAGTTCAATTTGGCCAAAAGCTTACCCCTGGGGGCTGGGAAGTAGTAGCTGTCACCTGACTAGCGGCTCATCCTCCAGAGCTGACACCCGACTCAGCGACTCACCCTGAGGAAGAAGTAGCTGTCGACGTCGAGCTCCGAGTCGGAGAGGTCGCTGCCCTCCTCGGAGCCGGCGTCACTCTCCTCACTGCTGCTGGCCGACGGCTGGAACGGCGCCAGACGCTGCCAGAGTCACAGAAAATGAGTTAGAGTCAGTCACAGACGGCTGGAACGGCGCCAGACGCTGCAGGAGTCACAGAAAATGAGTCAGAGTCAAAGTCACACACGGCTGGAACAGTGCCAGGCGCTGCCGGAGTCACAGAAAATGAGTCAGAGTCACACACGGCTGGAACGGCGCCAAATGCCGACGGAGTCAAAATGAAATGGTCAAATTCGGAGTCAGAGTTCGAAGGTGCAGTGGTTGGGCGGAGTCAGACACTGTCGGAGTCAGAGGTAGACTCATTTAGAGTCAAAAGTTAGACGGAGAGTGGGTGGGCGGAGACATACGCTGTCCGAGTCATATTTAGACAAGATACGAGTCATACGCCAGGCGTGGCCAGGCAGAAGTGAGTCAGGTCCAATCAGAGTTTACTTGAGTCACTCCAGAGTCATGAGTCAAGAGTGAACCGAAAAGATGCTAGCTGAACCATGGCAGAGTCAAGGTCAGTCTGAGCCAGAAAATAGCAGACAGCAGACGGTCCAAACGAGGATCACACAATTCCAGCATTGGGTCTTAGACTTAGACTTATTTCGTCGACTCCATCTAGTAGATGCAGGATCATTTCTGATCGTCTTCCAATTATGTTAGCTGTCTGGATGATATAAATTTTCAGGACATCATAGTTGGGAGGACTCTTTAACAGTTACTCTTCTTGGTTATATTCTCAGTGAGTTCCTTGCGCACACGGGCTTGGTAGATATAATGGATGATCAAGCTTTGTGGCTTATCGGCGATGATGATAAGTTCTGCTGCTGGTAGCGTTCTGTTCAAGATAGTTTTGTATATTTTTTGAGCAGCTACTCTATCGTCTTTCAGTTTGTCACATTCAAAGAGCATGTGTTCCAGAGTTTCAATGGCATTACGACACAATGGACAGACAACAGTTTCTTTGTGCCTTCTAACCATGCTTGTGGCCACCAAAGAGTGGCCCGTTAGTAGGACAATTTTGGTTAGTGTCGCTTGTCTGGTAATTGCGCTGTACTTGCTTGCCGGCCAAAATGTTTTCGGCGCCTCGTACTTTTCGGTTTGTGGCAGTAGCGAAAGCCAAAACAAACTTGTCATATTATCTGCTGTGTTCCTGATGATTTTTGTCATACTTTGATCCACTGATGCAGATGCTAACTTGTTCCATGCTGTCCGCGGTTGGTCTATTTTTTGATTAGCCAGAATAGAGAGGCTTGGTAAGTTCAGATGTTGGAGCAATGTGTCCCATTGGCGCACAAGACTCGTGGTTCGATCAGCATTGACTGCTCCATGGGTGATGATATATCTGGTTAGAGTGTGTTCCTTCGCAGCTCTCAGAAGGAAACCTATGAATTGGAGTGCGGTTCTCATTACGAGGCTTGTGCATGTCGGTGCACCCAACATCACATATGTCACCATTTTTTGCGTTTTGGTTGGTAAACCTTGGATGAGACGGTAAATGCGCATGAGCATTCCTTCCAAGTACATGATATCTGTTGGTGAAAGGGATGTAACTGCTAGGCTGTAAATTAGAACCGGTTCAGCATGTATTCTCCACGTTGTATAGAGTGACATCGGATTGTCCATTTTGAGGTTGATTCCTTTCTTACACTTAGCAAAAAATGTTCTTGCTTTCTTCATGCATTCTTCTATCCTTCTCTTTGCTGGACTTCTGGTTGTCATAATGATTCCTAGGTGGGTGTATTCATCAGTTTGTTCTATTGATTCAGTGCCAAGCGTCCACTGTACCGGAGCTGTCCTGCCAAAGACCATTATTTTGGTTTTTGATACGTTATATCTATAACGCCACAAGCAACTATGGTTGTAAGCGATATCAAGCATTTCTTGGAGTTCGTTTGGGTCTGTGCTTATGAGTACTTCATCATCGGCGTAAGCGATAACTGGTACTTGTTTACACCCTATCTTGGCTCCCTTATGTGATTCCAGCAGCATGCGTATCTTGTCTTCCATAAATAGGATCAGCATGCTCGATGATAAGACGCCTCCCTGTTTGAGCCCTTGCTCTATGCGACCATCGGTGGATACAGTTCCTCCAACTTTCACTTTGACATAAAACTCTCGATACAAGTTGCGCAAAATGACGATCAACCTTGGTGGCATGTTGGCGCATATGAGTTTGTAGATTACCCCGTTGTGCCAAATAGAGTTAAAACACTTGCGTACGTCGAGAAATGCAACATAGGTCGTTTTCCCAATGTCTCTATTAGCTGATATGACTTCTTGGAGAACAAAGTTTGCTTGGAGTGTCCCTCTACTTTTTTGATACGCAAACTGTAGTTCTGAGTAGATACCAGCCTCGACCATCTTTGGGTGAAGTCGTTTCACGATCAGTATCTCAAAAACTTTACAGAGGGTGGTAAGGACAGATATGTCCCTATAGTTATCAGTCTTAGAAGGATCGGTTCCATGTCCTTTAAAGGGACCCTCCCACCTTCAAAAAAGTTTATGAATTGGCATGAAAGTGATGTCGCTCGGTTCAGAAAGAGCGAAAACGAATATCTACCAAATTTCACCGAAAAATATTCACCGGTTTTCAAGATATTAGACTTTTACTTTTGTTTACTTTTTTGGGATCTCCGCTGTTTCTAGCGACTTTATTTTAGAAGTGCGGCGTTTGCGGCAGATGTTGCGCGCAAATAGCATATACCACCGCGTGCTACAAAACGTTTTAGTCAAACATTTAAAAATCGTTAGATATCTGCGCTGACGTCACACATTCAGAGGGGTATTCCTAAGCATTAGCCCCTCTGAATCAAAATGCTGCAATTTTGAAATTCAATATTTCCGATTTAAGGCATTTCTCGATGTTGTGAGTGCCGAAACCGGTAATTGTGAGCCAGGGACCCCATTTTGGCTATCTCAACTCAAATCTAATGTTAAGGTGGGAGGGTCCCTTTAAAGACCGGGGTAACTAATCCAAACTTGAAGTTATCTGGGATTTTGCCAGTATTAATGATTTCTTGCATAATACCTGCTATTGTTGCGTTTGCTATTCCTTTTGCTTCTTTCAAATGTTCTGCAGTTATTTCGTCGAATCCTGGAGCTTTTCTATTCTTTAGATGGTATATAGCTTCATCAATCTCGCTTTCGTCAATCGGGTCCACTTGGTCGAGACTATCAAAATCAGCTTCATATCTATTGCATATGTTTTCTACTGCTGCATCTACTGCCTCTTTCCACTTTTCATTGAAGGCACTGGATTTGATCGGTTTACCTGTGTGGACAAAATGAGTCAAAAAATTATGTGCAATCTCATCAGGTTCTAATATCTCTGTACCATCATCCACGATTCTTGGAATTGATGTGCTTGTTCTATGCTGTCGCATTGCCAAAAAGTATTTATTTGACAAGTTTTTACATTCAAATTCCCTTTCTGTGTCTTCTGCTTGCTTCCTTGTCAATTGATGTGCTCTCTGTGCGTTTGGTGCCTAATAAACTATGATGATGATGATGATAGTGTCTTTTGTGTTCTCGAAATATTTGCTCAGCTTTCTTTTTCTCACACTCGGGAGCTGATTTCCACATTGCTTTAGCCTTGAGACATTTTTTCCTATGCTCTGTGAGTTCATGATTCCACCAGTTACTAGCTTTGTTTTTCTTGCGTTTTTTCGGGAGCACTTGTGATGCTCTATTGAAGGCTTCATTTAATTCTGCAACACTGGTGATGTCTTCTAAGAGATCATCCAGCTTTCTTTGATATTGTTCCGTAGTCCCTTCTCTTCTTGCCTTTTCCCAGTTTATCTTTGCATTTTTTGATGTACCTCGCCCATGAGCAGTTTTCAGTAGAATAGCTGAGATTACTAATTGAACCGGTTCATGGTCCGATCTATTCAATGCGCTTCTATCAGATATTTCATACTCTTTAACTAAGTATCCATGAGTAGAGTCAACAAGAAAATAGTCAAGTAACGATACTGGCGTCGTATCTTGGGTATAAAAAGAGCAAAGCTCATCCAGTTGCGTCTCCACCGGGATCATGAGGTTATGATCATCGATGAGGGCTGAGGTATACTTTTTGTTGTAGTGGGTGTCTTTTCGTAGGTCAACATTGAGGTCGCCTCCAATTATTACCATTCTATTTGCTGGTCGGACATGGAGCTGAAACTGTCTTTACGTAGTTAGGCTGTAAGCCGCAAAAGGCGCTTCTCAAGAGTCACACGAGATGAAACTTGAAATTACATAACGTCACGATTACATTATATGTGCATTACATAACGTTACTTCATGACGTAATACAAAGCGCAATGCCAACTGCCAGCAAACCCTGAGCCAAACTCCACAAAAACTCAACCACACGACTCAGAATCCAGTCTTGTAGTGTCTGCCTGTCCCATCACACTGCCTTGACTGCTACCCGACCTTTGTGGTTGGCCCAATCCCAGCCTCTCCCCCCCCCCTCCATCGGTGACCTAGACAGCGGTGAAGCCGCCCAACACACGCCGGCTGACGGGGGCGGGCAGACGGACGGACAGACGGGCCACACCCACCAGTCATGTGGCGACGGTAACCATGGCGTGGCGACGGTAACCAGGGCGGTAACCACACGGGGCCCACCGGCTGGGTGGCGATGGTAACCGTGCAGGTGCCCCGCGCACAACACAGACAACTGGGCTGAACGACGTTAGAGCTGTCGGCTAGCGTCATGGCCAGAGTGGCAATCATGTAGTACGCCATACTGTCTACCCTGTCAGACCGCCAGACAGCTCTAGTGGAACTCGGGGCCCGACAGGAGCTTAGAGAGACGGTCACGAGGGGAGTGTTCAGTGCTGCAGAGGTGAATGCCGCATAGTGAGAGGGGGAGGGTTGAAATTCAAGAGACCAGTCGTATCGCCGACCCGTGTGGCGCTTTGACCTCACAGGCCCCTACCTATCACCATACTGTTGATCGTCTCTCCCTTTGCATCCCTGCCAACTGCCCGTCACTTCTGTATCCCTCTCTCACGTCATCTCTCATCCTCTCTCACCGTTCTCACCTGCAGCTTCCTCTGTTTGACCCTCAGTCGGGTGAGCAGTTCGCGGTGTGCCATCCGCTGCTCGTTGACATGATCAGTCAGCGTGAACCGCTCCACGTGACTGTGCTCGTCGGCCATACCCAGTGTGCTGCCGCCCTGAGACGGGATGCATGTGAATCCCTGCGCGCGCGGGAAGTAGAACACGGTGACACCGTCAAACTGGATGCCCCGCCGCGGCCGCTTTGGTGCGCTGTCACCTGTGGATAGAGAGGGGAGTTAGAGACAGAGGGTCAGGGTGGGTGTGGGGATGGGCGCATTTCAGGGGTGGGATTGAGAGGGGAAGTCATAGTAGGGTTGGGGAGGCTGGGCAGAAACAAGAAGTTAGAACAGGGGGGGGGGGGTGGAGAGAAAAGAAGAACTTCAATATGGGTTTTTAGAGAAAGGCAAACAGATGCCGATAACAACTCAGCAGTAGTCTGAATGAGATCCCAGGAGTGATAGTCCATGTTAACGGTAATTTACTTTACAATTGGTCAAAGCCCACCCGTCACTTTTCTAAGACGAGCAGCAATTGTATGGCTTATTGTGCCGGACAGGCGAACCCACACGAGCAAAATGCCAGTCGAGTCAGACAGCATGGAGGTGAAGTTTTCAATTCAATGTGGGATGCCTGACAACAGAGTCCCGTGCTCTCCGATGGGACAATAAGGTCCCGGAGAAATATGCTGCCGCGGTGCCGCGGAAAGGTCACAGAGCCAAAGGTCACAGGTGAGGCCGGTCATAGGCCGTCGTCCTGTCGGGGACGCGGCGGGCGCCGGAGCCGGGGAGGAGCTCGGGGAAAGGTCGCCGAGGTCGCGACGGGTTATGACTGTCCACCACCTGACCGCGACACGACTGTGACATTTTCCGAGCGATGTGGCGGACACAAACGGACAGGGGACATTGTGACCTTCGGGGGAAGGTGAACGGCAGAAAGAAAAATCTGGTCTGACACCAGGGATGACACAACAGTTAACCATTCAGGTGTGAAAATTTGTCTTCATGGCAATGAGATCAGCCACGATCACTGCGGATTTCAAACACCATCCGCTCTCAGGGACTCAACGACCCGCATAGCCTATGATGAATTTCACGAGCGATCCCATTTGTCAGATTCCGGTAACCGCTAAGGGGATCGGGCACCTCATCTTTCTAACGCTACATATTATTGTTTCTGAATGACAGTCCCACAGCAACCGGACATCCACGGTCAACACGGCCTCAAAACCAGCACATCGGTGGCCGGGGTGAGATGATTTACGTACCGCTGCCCCGACGGAGATTTGTGGCAAGGCTGCCGGCTTTAAATCGCGGCCCGTCGGCAAAGTTTCGGCATGCCGACGGCTTAGTCAGCCAATGGCCGGCTTCCTGAGTGACGTCACCCAATGGCCGAGATGTGAGCAACAGGTCGCCGCTAAACGGGGCCGCTCTTCCGGCGCCTATTGTGACGGACTTACGAGAACAATGCACGCGTTTCTATGACATTTTACAACTTGACCCCAGGCAACTTGACTTTAAAACTTGACTTCACCTTTGAGGACGTGAAGCCTAAATCATATTTAGGTTATTTATTATAAATGGGTTTACGGTGCCAACCGGCATAACTTGCTTGTCACTTGCGTAACATGTCTATACCAAACGCGCATTTACGCGTATTAATTTCCCGAATCGCTATAACCATGAAAAGAGAAGGCAGCTGACGACTGAACAGATAATTTACTGACAGTACCGACCCTCCGACGCTACTTACCTGTCGTGCCGTCGCTCTTCCTCTTCAGGTTACTGCGGGTAGGTACGGCCCGCAGGTTCGGCTGTTCCCGATGCTTCCGGCCGTCATCCACCGCCGCCGCCGGGCCTGTCGATGACGCTGTGGACGACGCCGATGATGACGCCGCTACTGATGACGTCGATGACGATGATGAAGATTCTGCGGATGACGCCGTTGCCGGTGCCGGCATGGCGACAGCGTCGGCAGCCGCCGCCCGCTCTGTTTCTGACAACGGATGCTCTCCATTTACTGGTACGGACTCCGGCTGCTGCGGCGGCGCAACCACCGTCGCCTCTGATGTGGACTCCTGACTGGTCTCAGTTGATGAGACTTCCACTTCCGCTGGAAGAGAGACCTCCTCCTCCCGTAGCGACTCCACAGACGAACTCTGTGACTCAGTACAAACCTCCATCTTCTGTTCTGAAGCAGCATCACTCTGTTCCTCCAGCTGAGAATCCTGCTCCTCTGAGACATCCTCCTGTCCCTCTGTAATCTCTGCTCGCCTCTCTTCCTCTTGAATCTCTTGTTTCTCTGCTATCTCGGTCTGAGTTTCGCACTCCTCTGCTGGTGAGCCACCCTCATCCGGAGACGGCGGTTGAGCGGACGGTTCCGCGGCGCTGGGCGGACTCTCCGCTGAGTCGTCACGGTCCGCCGGCGGCACCTCTGCCGGCGGAGCAGGCTGCGGTTCGAGTTCCGCGTCGTCCGAGTCCCGCTCCTCCGATAGGGACCCGGACGAGACGGCCCTCGGAGCCGACTCTGCTGCTGCTGCCTCCGCCGCCTCTGCTGACGGAGCGGTGTACTCCGTCTCCGTCTCCGCCTTTTCCCCTGCCTTCGCTTCCATCTCCGTCTCCGCCTTTGTCTCCGTTTCTTCCTTCGTCTCCTTCTCCGCCTTCGTCTTCGCTTCTGTCTCCGCCGCCGTTTCCACGCTCGTCCTCACCTCTGACGTCACTTCTGCGGTTGGACCCTGGACAGGATCCACCTTCAGCGGCGCAGACTCAGCGTTAACAGCAACATCGGCCTCCGTCGTGTCTGTCTCTGCGCTCTTAGCGATAGCCTCTTCCCCAGACCGTTCTACCTTGTCGGTCACGTTTGTCGCGCCCGTTTCGTTCAACACGTCTTGCGAGTCGGTGTCATCGTCACCCGTCGCAGTCACTGTCGCCGACGTCGAGTCGATGTGGTCGAGCAGATCTCGTGGGCGGCCGTCGGCGGGCGCGGGCGGGGGCGGGGGCGGCGGCGGCGTATCGACGGCGTCCACGGCGTCCAGGAGGTCCCTAGGCGGCGGCGGGGCGGTCGGGCCCCGCTCCTCTCCAGTCATGGCCGGCGTCTGAAACAAGACAGGGGGAGGAGGGTCAGAGCATCGCACAACGCGTAAACATTGCGCCGACAACGCAACAGACTGACTGACAGGCTGGAGACAACACCGAAATCCATTGCGGTTAGGGTGCCAGATCTCACATTAGCCCCACTGTACAATATGGACTTACGTTATGCTTCATTTTATGGCAGTCAAGCATTCGAACTAATGGAGAACAGCATGTATGGCCATTGGCCACTGCCGGGTACCCATTCACCTTTTGCGGAAATGTCAACATGAAAGGCAGCCCCGCGCCGGTGCGGTTCGGTATGGCGGTCGGCCGGTATCTGGGAACCCATCCCGCTCAATGGTGAGCAGTATCAACGTGTTCGTGGAACGCACCGTAATACCATTCAACCAGAGCCCCAGTCTGACATACCTAGCTAGGAGCAATTCTAAGGTCACGTGACACCTTCCTGCATGCACGAGGGGGATATTTGCATAGACATTGAAGGTCGACACTGGTTTCTATATATTGAATCCCCAGGCGACATCTTCAATTCATGAAAAGTTTTCCAGGTCCGTTTCAATTTCATTGGCAGTTTACCGAGCAGAGCACAGACGCCCTGTCGGCGTTTCCCGGGCGCCGACAGCGCCTCTAGCGGCAGCGCTCGGAACCTGTCACTCTCTCGGCGCATGGGACCTGGGACTGCCCCCCCCCCCGTCCCTCCCGCCCGGCCGGCCCGCCGAGGTTCGGCCACCCCCGCCCCACCGCGACTGGATGGGGTGTCAGCTGTCCACCTGGTTGCCCGAGCACCACCATTCTGCTGTTCAACACCGCTCCTGACCAGTGACGGACAAGGAACATCGCAGCGCGCCATATATGGAAGTGGGGCGTTCACAAAGGAAGTCCTCTGAGGACAGCTCAAGGACAATGTCGAGCGAACACCGACCAGCCGTCTGATTTTGTATGAAAAATAGCCTACCACTAAAAGCCCACAGGCATGTTTATGGGTCAGACAGCCAAAGTAGCCGGGATCATGACATCATAAACTCTACCATGAGTTTGACCTGCCTCGTGCCCGCCGGCCGTCACCCTCACCTGTCACCGTCGGCTGTCACGTCCGTCACCACTCCGTCACACGTCAGGCACCACTACAGGGCACCATTCGTCACCAGACAGCACCAGTTTCCGTCCGGTCCTCCGCGCGGGCACCTCTCCCTCCGACTGCCGCCACAGGAATAGCGCGGGAGCGCCGAGTCGCGTCACCGCCGCCGAGTCGCGGGCGGCGAGAGCGTCACGGAGCTCTGCACGGCCGGCGGCGCACCCGCCCAACACGACCAGCTGCCAGCCGCCGCGCCGGGGCGAGCAGCGCGGCGGGGAGGGTGGGGTGACGAGACACACACCCGCCAAAACGGACAGTCCGGCGGCGCGCGGCGCCCCAGAGTGGCGCCATTTCCACTCGACCGAGCGAGAGGATGGGGTGGTCCATCCGAAGTCACCGATTGATTAGATTGGTGTAAACAGCCCGTGAATGTTGGCGCGTTTCGGTCGCGCCTGGACACTGGTTGCGACGCCAATCCACTATGGAATCGTGGAAAACTACCGGCACTTTTTGGCACAGCCGCTCCGGTCAGTGACGGGAAACGTCGCACCGCCAGAGTCCCGACACAGCTCGGCAAGGTCGCAGCCCACCGTACCGCGCCCATGTTTTCCATCCCCTCTCATCGAAACACCAGCTGACAGATCACGATCAATTGGGAGCTCGTCACCACCTCTTAGAATGACCGACCGTGTCCCTCACTCAGCCGGTCACTGTGTCATTCTCACTCGCCGAGCGCGCAGCTCGCGTGGAAGCCTCAGCAACAGCGGTCGCCTCTCGGCCGAGCTGGAAAGTCTGGCGCTTTCCCCACAGGTCGCGACCCGGGCCGACCCGCCGCGCCGGCCGGGCGGGGTGCCGCCGAGTGCTCAGGTAAGTACTCTCTCCCTCCTGGCCCACCAGCACGGCACGGTCCACTGGGAGCAATCAATACCGGACGGATCAGCCGTCCACGGCAGCAAGCCTGAGGAGATCCACCGCTAACGACAGACGTCGACACCGTCACGGCCTGTCACGTGACGTCATGTAGCCCGTCACGTGGCGTCATGAGGGTGCGGCCATCGGACGGACGGTGACGCCGTGACTGAGGCCCGTCACCGTGACGCAGTGTGGCGAACTCGGAGGGCGCCGAGGTGCCGCTGTTACGTGCCGTGTCCGTACGTGTCTCCGGCTGGGTATGTCCGGTCCGCGGCCAAGGACGGCCGCCCCCGCCCCCGCCCCCGCCGCGCCGCGCCGCCCGGGACCGAGACTGACACAGAGCTGAGGTCCGGCGAAGGACGTATACCGACCAGCCGCTGTAGATATAGGTACATAGGGGAGAAATATTAGAGCTGGGGAGATCCTGGGCACCTTCAGCTGAGAGCGTGTGGCCGGACATCTTCCGGAACGCGTCATAGAAAAAGAAGGCTGATCCCAATAGACCGTGATCTACATAAATCATGTTTTACCATATTAAAGCTGGGGAGATCCTGGGCACCTTCAGCTGAGAGCGTGTGGCCGGACATCTTCCTGAACGCGTCATAGAAAAAGAAGGCTGATCCCAATACACCGTGATCTACATAAATCATGTTTTACCACAGGAAACGCCGATGCCACGCTACCACGGGATAAATGGGCGTCGCCTTGATAGGCACAAGCAGGCTTCATATGACTCAGACTCATTTATCGTTTATACCGTCCATATCACTGATAATCTTCTACCACTCATCACCTCATACATCTGTCAGCACCAAACATCCATCGCAGCTCGTCAGTTCCTGCCTTACTGGACCAATTAGCGAGCATTAGCTGTCACAGCTCCTGATCCACGCAAGCTGTGACAGCTCCAGTCTGAACGTGTTTCACCCAGTCCTACCGCCCACCAGCCCGACCATCAAGCAGCGCTATCAAGCCCGGGGGTCAAATGGAACCGGACAGACTCATCCACGATACGGGAGCCACGATACGAACAGTGCGATAGCCGCACACGCCCCGGACTCAGGCTGGTCGGCGACTCAGCACGGCGTGACGTCACCGTGACGTCACTGTACAGCATGACGTCACTGGCGCCGCACCGGATGACATCCTATGACGTCACGGCAGCACTGACTCGCTCGCAATACACAGCGCTAAAGGGATTGAGTCCGGACCCGAACCGTCCATAAGGCACGTCTCTGTTCGGGGCTGCCTGCCACGAGACCGTCGTCCGAGGCTCACGTCAATGTATCGTGACGTCACCACGTTGTGACGTCACGGTCGGGAGAAATACCTATCACGCGCCTGAGGCACGGCACGGAACAATAAACGAGATCTGTGCAGACGCTCACATATAATTGGGAAGACGGAATGTGCGAATCATGTTGCTGCCACAGATATTGTTTCGGTACGACTAATGGGCTCCGTGACGCTTTGCTCAACCATTGCGTCAGCTAGTGGGGCGAGGTGCGACCTCCTAAAAACGTTTGTGACCGATCAGGTGACCTCACAGTGCACGAGGAGCAAGAGAAACTAACAGCTAGGAAATGGCAATAGCCAGCGATCGGGATCAAAGTTGCAAGCAAATCATGACAAAGACAACAGTCACATGCTTCGCCACTGCACTGCCTCGCCAAGCCAGACATTGATAGGTGACTGAATTTAAAAATAAAGATGAATTTGAAGATAAATCAAAATTGTAGGCCAAATTAATCAATCCCCAAGGATAGGTACATACATAAGCCAGCATGCAAAAATAGCCACCTCACCTGTGCTGAAATTATCGACAGTCGTGCATTTCTTCTCGGTCTCAAGCGATCGTTCCAAATATTCGTCGACATTGCTTTTATAAAAAAAACTTAAACCCGGATAAAGCTATAGATCGTCTACGGAACGTGGAAAAAGTATGGATGACACAAGCAACAGCGATTCAAGCCAGCTTTATGCAATTCGCACCGGGTGCATGGTTTACTACGAGTATTTCTAGGCAAGTATTCACCGTAACAATTAATTAATCGGCAGGTTAATTCGTTGAACGAGTTATGCATTTTAGCCAAGCATATGACACAAATTTAAGGTGTTTTTTTCAAAAATAAATACAACACCAATCCAAATTTTTGGCAATAAAAATGTCACCCAAAAGCCGTACAAATAAAAGGTGTTTGCTGCACGCGTGGTGTTGCTTGTCGAAACCCCTGCACCTCTGCAATGCGAAGAGCATCCATGCACGGAAAACGAAGTTGCTCGACTGTTCTAGATGAAAGCGACTGACTGGGGCTGCCATCTAGATTTCATGCCAAGATAAATAGAGCATTAAATGGGGGACATGGTGCAACAGAAAGAGGATGAAATAAAATGGCAGATTGTGTAGGCCGACGATCATTCACGACGTCGTTCATACGTTTCGCTCAGACATGCAAATAATGTTTTTGATGGTGATAGCTCGGTGATATGTGAGAGATACATATTGCATACCTACAGCTGTTGCAGTCTGCATAGGAAGTCATACTGCATACGTATGGTTATAAGAGTAACATGTGATTATGACATACAAATACGCGATAATGACGGTCCTGGTCACTAACACCCTGATAACCTTCTTACGAGTTCTCCACATGAAATAGACTCTACGCCACACTGCAGCCACGGCACCTCATAAAACAGCTGACCAGTGCAGCGTCCCTTCCCCTCACCCCCTCATCGGCGACCAGCCCATGGCATCTCAAGTGCCGTGGCATCATGACACCGTCACAGCCGTCCGCTGCAAAAACGTGACGCAGTTCTAACCTCTGGACCGCCGCCTCACCGGCCGAACTGAGGCCAAGTGAGGCGCGCGAGGATCTCCCGTAGCGGCAGTCGCGGTCACACTGCGGCCAGTCATGCGAGCCGCGGCAGACGGCCGGGCGCCACGCCGCCGAGTGGCCTCCGGCACCGGGCCGTCGGCACTGAGCAGTGCAAGCGTACCAAGCGGTTCGG